CTCTGCCTCTGCGTCTGCCTCAGCCTCTGCCTCTGCCTCAGCCTCTGCCTCCTGCCCTCAGCCTCTGCCTCTGCCTCAGCCTCTGCCTCAGCCTCTGCCTCTGCCTCAGCCTCTGCCTCTGCCTCAGCCTCTGCCTCTGCCTCTGCCTCTGCCTCTGCGTCTGCCTCAGCCTCTGCCTCTGCCTCAGCCTCAGCCTCTGCCTCAGCCTCTGCCTCTGCCTCAGCCTCTGCCTCAAGCCTCAGCCTCTGCCTCAGCTCTGCTCTGCTCAGCCTCTGCCTCAGCCTCTGCCTCAGCCTCTGCCTCTGCCTCAGCCTCTGCCTCGCCTCAGCCTCTGCCTCAGCCTCTGCCTCTGCCTCAGCCTCTGCCTCTGCCTCAGCCTCTGCCTCTGCCTCATGCGTCTGCCTCAGCCTCTGCTCGCCTCAGCCTCTTGCCTCAGCCTCAGCCTCTGCCTCAGCCTCTGCCTCAGCCTCTGCTCAGCTCAGCCTCTGCCTCAGCCTCTGCCTCTGCCTCAGCCTCTGCCTCAGCCTCTGCCTCAGCCTCTGCCTCTGCCTCAGCCTCAGCCTCTGCCTCAGCCTCTGCCTCAGCCTCTGCCTCAGCCTCAGCCTCTGCCTCAGCCTCTGCCTCTGCCTCAGCCTCTGCCTCAGCCTCTGCCTCTGCCTCAGCCTCTGCCTCTGCCTCTGCCTCAGCCTCAGCCTCTGCCTCTGCCGCGGCGCCAGTTCTCCGGTCCCTGCACCCCCTCGGTGGTGAGGCTGAGGGGCCTTCCTGATAGGGACGCGGCACCCTGTCCTGTGTCCTGTCCCGGGGGGCGAGGGGGCGGCTGGCCTCGTCCCTTGGGAAGCTGCGCCCCGTCTGTCTCCTCGCGGGCGGTGGGGCGGGCCCTCCGGCTGCTCCCTGTCCAGAGGGGGCGCGGGGAGTCCGGGTGCAGGCCTGTCCCCTGGCGCCGGAGAACAAGGCTTCGATTCGTGGCTGGCGTTTACCTCGCGCTCAGAACCGGCCTGAGGCCGCCTCGGCCGCACACGCTTCCTCCTTCAGCCCGGCTCAGCCCTGAGTCCCCGGAGGCCAGGTGCTCCCCCCCCCCCATCAGGCAGCTGGAGAGGGGGTGGCCTTGCGCGGTGCTGGGATTGCAGCGGCGGGGCCCCAGGCAGTGTCCCGCCCGCCGGCCCGCCCCCACGGTGAGCCGGAGGAAGGAGCACCGCCTCCAGGTGTGTCGCTGGTCATGGCCTTGGAAAGTCACATCCGTTCCCTGTGCGTGACCCTGTGCGGGTTCCCCCAGGCAGCCGCTTCCTCGTCAGCCGCGGGCTCCCGTTAGTTACTCAGCGTCCGCCCTGTTCCTTTTCCCGGACGGAGCGAGCAGTTCGCAGGGCGCAGGCTCTCAGGGCCGGTGCGCAGAGACAGATCGGGCGCTCAGGGCGCGCAGGGCCCGGGCGCTGAGAGGGCGCGCAGCTCAGCTCCGGAATGCAGGCGTCCTCGCCACGGCCGCTGGCCTCGCCCCGGCTCCCGGGGTGGCACCTGCCAAGGAGCTTCTGCTGCTTCACGTCCAGAAGCCAGAGAGGGCGTGGGCCGGCGGGGGGCGGGGGCCGGGGGCCGGCCGTGCGGCCCTCCCGCCCGGACCCGCGTGCTGCCCTTCCGGGGGCTGGGGGAAGGGGAGGGCCAGGAGCCAGCCACCGGGGAGCCGGGGACCCCAGCAGACAGCGCCAGTGGGACCTGGGGAACAGGACCCCAGTTGGCACAGCTGCTGAGCCCCCAGTCAGCGAGCAGAGTCCAGGGGTCCCTGGGGGCGCGTTCCCGGGTTTCTGTCACTGTGCTCAGCAGAGGCTGTGCCGGGACAGTTCTCCTAAACTCGCCGCCCGGCCCCGCCGTAGACCGGCTGCCACAGCCTCGCCTCCGCTCTGCCACTGCGAGGTCCGTCAGCCGCTCGGGGACTCGGTCCCTGAGAGGGGCGAGCGAGGTTCACCACTGAAGTGTGGGCAGCACCCACGCCTCCCACTGCCCAGACCCGCTCCGTGCAGGCACCGGGGGTCGGGCCTCCCCCCCCGCTGAGCCGGCGGCTGGCGGACGCAGAGCGTGGCAGTCCACACCAGGGCGTTCCGTGCGGGAGGCTGTGAGGAGGCGGCAGCGGGACCTGTGAGTGGGGCCGGGGCCGTTGCGGGAAGAGGCTGTCTGAGCTGAGGGGAGGGGCAGGCGTTAGTCAGCCAGGAGCGGCTGCCCAGGGGGAGGGAGCCCCGCACCACGTGCAGAGGCCCTGGGCGGAGGGAGTGGGCCATGCTGGGGTCTGAGGAGCAGGGAAGAGGGTGAGGGCGGCTATGGGGCGGGGCAGGTCACCCAGGCTCACGGCCCGGCCAGGTCCCGCCCCTCACCCGTCGCCGTGGCATCGACCCCGCACAGGTGTCACTTGCTGCCTGTGAATGTGCTCTCCAGGCCCTTCTGCCTGCAGGACGCACCCCAGGGCAGGCCCGCGGTGCATGTGTGTGCTGCGCGTGTATGCCTGTGTGAGCTTGTGCATGTGCACATATGTGCACACGTGTCTTCAGGAAGCACCGCCTGCCCGACATGGGACACTGCCCCTGAGTGACCTCGTACGGCACTTCCTCTCCGTTGACAGTTCCTCTCCCGCCCTCGGTTCCCCGTGGTCACGTGGAGCAGGTCACGTGGCCGGAGGGGCACTGGCTCCCGTGGGCCTGCTCTGCAGAGACGGGTCTCCGTGCAGAGGGACCGAGTCTGGTTTGGGCCAGGCAGTCTGAGGGGGAGCCAGGACCAAGGAAAGGCGTCCGGCCCCGCCCGCCCCATGGGCAGCGTGGGAAGCCCCTCTGGGCTCTGCTCTGTGGAGGGTGTGGTGTGTGTGGCTCCGACCTCCAGGGTCCCTGTCCTCCGCTGGGAACGGCCACCTGGGCTTAGACCCACGCTGCAGCCTGCCCAGACGCCCCGCGTGCGTGAGTCACGGGCCTTCCCGTGCCGGCCACGTGCCCGCCCCGGGCGCCCCGGCGTGGCCCTGCCGGTGGCTGACGGGCCGCTGTGCTCACGGTGACCAGCTCTCGCCGGGCAGCCGTTGGTGCAGACGCCGCCGGCCCAGCACGGCCCGGCACTGCCGCCGACGGCTCCTGAGCTGCCGGCCCGCACGTGCGGCCGTGGGTGTGTCTGCTGGCGGCTCGGGTTCCGCTCACCAGACACGGGAGCCTCTGCACCGTGCTCGCCGGCCCCTCCTGCTCTCCTGGGCGACCCGCCCTGTTTGGAGCTGTCCGTCCAGCGTGCAGCCCCGGGCGACCGCCCCGCCCGAGGTCTGTCCGCCGCCGAGAACGCATCCTGTGTGGCCACCCCGGCCAGTCAGACCCCTCCTCGCAGGCAGAGGACAGGAAATGCGTCCGCCAGGAAGACCCCTGACCGAGTGGACGAGGGGCCGCCTCTGTGCGGGCAGGACCGCCCTGGTGTGGGCTGGCTCAGGAGTTGTCCGGTTTCCGGAAGGCGTGTGTGTGTGTGTGTGTGTGTGTGGACCCTGACGTGGCCTCGCTTTCACCCCGTCCTCCGTGGGAGCCGTGGGGGGAGGGTGTCAGCCTGTCTGAGGGGCTCCGTCCCCTGCTCGCAGGGCCCATGTCACCTTCCGCTGGGTGCCCGGCTGTCCACAGAGCAGGGTCCCAGGCACGCGGGCCGAGGTGGGGCTCCCCGAGGCAGGAGAAAGGGGCCGGGCCCGAGGGCTTTCGGGAGAATGGGGAGCGGCCCCGAGTCTGTCTCCTGTGGGAACACTTCCTGCGATAGTTCATGTCCCCTTGGTGTGTGACACACAGTGTGCATACACATACACACAGGGGCCTTAGTGTATGACACACACGTGTGCATACACACAGGGGCAATAGTTCATTTCTTCTTGGTGTATGACACATGTATGTGCACGCACACACAGGGGCCTTGTTGTGTGGCACACATGTGTGCACACACATACACACAGGGGCCTTGGTGTATGACACACATGTGCGCATACACATACACACATGGGCCTTAGTGTATGACACACACGTGTGCATACACACAGGAGCAATAGTTTGTGTCCTCTTGGTGTATGACACATATACACATGCACACATACATACAGGGGCCTTGGCCTATGGCACACATGTGCACACACAGGGGCAATAGTTCAGTGCCCCTTGGCGTATGACACACGTGTACACACACGCACACATAGACAGTCGAAGACCCAAAGCTTCTTTCCAATGGGCGGGCCTTAAGAAGGAAGTAGGGCCAAAGCCGGTGTGGCTCAGTGGATAGAGTGTCAGCCTGTGGACTGAGGGGTCCCGGGTTTGATTCCAGTCAAGGGCATGTGCCTTGGTTGCAGGCACATCCCTGAAGGGGGGTGTGCAGGAGGCAGCTGGTTGATGTTTCTCTCTCATTGATATTTCTAGCTTTCTGTCTATCTCTCTTCTTCTCTGTTAAAAGAGTCAATAAAATGTATGTTTTTTATTTATTTTATTATTTTTTTAATATATTTTATTGATATTTTACAGAGAGGAAGGGAGAGAGATAGAGAGCTAGAAACGTCAATGAGAGAGAAACATTGACCAGCTGCCTCTTGCACACACCCTACTGGGGATGTGCCCGCAACCAACGTACATGCCCTTGACCGGAATCGAACCTGGGACCTTTCAGTCCGCAGACCGATACTCTACCACTGAGCCAAACCGGTTTTGGCAAAATGTATGTTTTTTTAAAGAAGAAGGAGGAAGTAGGTGCGGGTCCTCTTCCAGTGCCTCGGCACAGTGGCCGGGAGGGTGGGGCTGTGCCGAGAGCGCCTCCTGTCTGCAGAGACGAGCTCTCACGCGCCGGGTGCTGCGCTGCGGGCTGTGGAGTTGTGACACTTGCCCCGGGGCCAGATCGCCTGATAGACCGGACATCCTCCGGTGACGTGACAGGAGTGGCCGTGTGACCTCGTTTGTGACCAGGGCGCCCGCTCCTCCCGGGTTGACGTGGGCGCAGGCCCCAGGCCGTGGTGACCGTGCTTCTCCTCGCAGGCTCCGGGGCCCGCCTCGCTGTCCGCTTCTCCCCACTGCCGCCGGCCGTCCAGGTGAGTGTCCCCGCCTCGCCTGCGCGCCTGTCCTGACCGGCCTCCCTCACTGCAGTCACCGGGTCTCCTGTTTGTAAGCACATGTCACAGGGAGGGGACACGTGTCCACGTCACGTCTGCGTGTCTGATGCGGTCTCCCGGCTCAGAGCCCCGATCCTGGGCCGTGGCTGCCTCCGGGAATAATCCGGCTGGCGGCTGTGAGAGGGCTGGGGGTCCCAGACCTGATTCTGGCGTGTGCCGGAGCTGCACGCGCCCCGTCAGAGCCACAGCCCGGCTCCCGCGTGCAGGCCCCTCGAGCCCGGCGGCAGCGGGCGCACGCCCTCTCTGGACCCACGTGTTCACAGAGGCAGGCAGGCTCTCCCTGTGTGTGTGCGTGAGGGAGGGGACCCTTGGTAAGGGCCCAGGTCGGCGCCAGAGGCCAGGCTGAGTGCCGGGGGTCGGGGCGGTGCTGCTGTGAGGGTGGTCGTGGCGCAGGTGTTTCTAAAGGGTGCCTGGATCCTCAGCCTCGGTGGGAGGCGGGGGGGGGGGGGGGAGGGGATCTGGTGTGAGTCAGTTTCTGAGCCAGAGGATGGGTGCTTGCCAGGCTAAGAAGCCATCTTATGTGTTTTTGAATTTTTCCAAATGAAGAGAGAAACTCAGGTAGTAAACAGAACAACTATCGCCACAAAGCCCACAGCTGGCGCAGCGGCCGTGGCCCCACAGCTGGCGCAGCGGCCGTGGCCCCACAGCTGGCGCAGCGGCCGTGGCCCCACAGCTGGCGCAGCGGCCGTGGCCCCACAGCTGGCGCAGCGGCCGTGGCCCCACAGCTGGCGCAGTGGCCGTGGCCGAGCTGGGCTCACCTGCTCTGGCGCCCACATCCTCTGGCTTCACTGCGGCTGCCCCCGTGCGGGGGACCTTGCCCTCTCGCCTGGAGGTTCTCCCTCCGTCCCACACACCCCCCGGCCTGGGGTGCCCAGCTCGGTCCCCCAGCAGCGGGAGGAGGTCTGGGCTGGCTGCCCGCACAGCCAGCCCTCGACAGCCCTCGCCTAGCAGCGCCCCCTCTGCTGGCTCCTCCGCTCCCTCCCCCTGCCCTCCTCACACCTGCGTCCCCATCTCAGGTGACAGCTCCGGCCGCCCGCCCCCGCCCCCACCCCAGGGTGCCGCTCCGTCGGGCCTCTGCACCCACACCTGCCACTCACTGCCACTGCCAAGGGCTGAGCTGCCAGCGGGGCACGGGATGGGCCCGGGACAGGGACGGGACGGGGATGGGTGGGTCCCACAGGCCAGGCTGAGGGGGGTACAGAGGACCCGCCTCCTGCGAGGCCCCCTGCAGGGTCCCCAGGCCCTGAGCACGGATCGGATCGCCGATACCGTCCGCACGTCTGACGAGCCCACACCGGAAGCAGACTCGGCGGGTCCCTCACACCGCCCCTCCCCTAGGCCGGCGCTGAGCCCCACCATGGAGGACGGGCGCGAGCTGGACCTCACCTACGTCACCGAGCGTATCATCGCCGTGTCCTTCCCCGCCGGCTGCTCCGAGGAGGCCTACCTGCACAGCCTGCAGGAGGTGACGCGCATGCTGCGGTCCAAGCACGGCGACAACTACCTGGTGAGGGGGCGGGACGGTGAGGGAGCGAGGACAGTGAGCTGGGGGACGGGGGATGCTGAGCAGGGGGGCGGGGTGCTGAGGGGGGACGAGGGATGCTGAGGGGGGACGAGGGACGCTGAGGGGGTACGGGGGACGCTGAGGCGGGGACGGGGGACACTGAGCGGGGGAGGCGGGGTGCTGAGGGGGGGACGAGGGACGCTGAGGGGGGACGAGGGACGCTGAGGGGGTACGGGGGACGCTGAGGCGGGGACGGGGGACACTGAGCGGGGGGAGGCGGGGTGCTGAGGGGGGACAAGGGACGCTGAGGGGGGACGGAGACAGTGAGGGGGGTCAGGGAATGGGACGCTGAGGGGGGACGGGGACAGTGAGGGGGGTCAGGGAATGGGACGCTGAGGGGGGACGGAGACAGTGAGGGGGGTCAGGGAATGGGACGCTGAGGGGGGACGGGGACAGTGAGGGGGGTCAGGGAATGGGACGCTGAGGGGGGACAGGACGGGACGCTGAGCGGGCCACGGGGGACGGTAAACGTGAGGACGGGGCACTGCGCTGGCTGAGACGTGGGGACTGAGCGCCGTGATGAAGGGCAGGCAGCCGAGGGTCATGGGACAGAGCTGGTTACAGGAGCACCGGGCGCATTTGTCCTGCCCCTCAGGGGGTGGATAAGACACGGTGGGGCTCCCTGAGCTGGGCAGGGCTGCCTGTGGGAGAGGTTCCGTCCCTAAAGCACACAGTGCAGTGAGGGGGCGGGCAGGGCAGGGGCGGCGGGGGAGGCTCCCTCGTGTCCCACACGCCCCGGTGGCCTGGCCTGCCAATCCCGTCACACATGGTCTCCTCCTGAGCGGGGGGCGAGGTTGGTGTTCCGTGTCTCGTGTGTGTGTGTGTGTGTGTGTCCCCGCTTCTCAGGGACCGGTCCTCCAGCCGGAGCCCCTCCTGAGGGCCTTGTATGTTCCTTTTGTTTTGTGACGACCGCACACCTGGACACCATCCCCTGTGTCCCGCTCTGACCCTGCACACTGCGCTGAGTGCCATGTGTCAGCCCAGCTCAGCGTCCGACTCCTTTCTCCCCTTCGCAGGTGCTGAACCTCTCGGAAAAGAGATACGACCTCACCCGGCTCAACCGGAAGGTGCGCCCCCGCCCCCCCCCCGCCCCCCCCTCCCGCCCTCCCTGTCGGTGACCTCTCCCGACGCTCGTCCTGCGGGCGCCGGCCGCTCACTCCCCCCTGACTCGATGGCGAGGTCAGCAGCGCCTGGCCCTGGGCCTCTCCAGGTCCGTGTGTCTGCGGAGACGCCGGCCGAGGCAGGTGCCACGGTGAGCAGGGCGGCCCCTGCCCGTCCCCGCCAGGCGTGGCTGCACTTTTCTAATTTACTCGCGAGGAAGGGAGCGGGAGAGAGGGGCATCCGTGACAGAGCCGTTGGCCGGCCTCCTGCACGCCCCCCCTGGGCGCCGAATCCGGAGTCGCACCCTGACTCCGGTTCACAGGGCGGCGCCCAGGGAGCCGGCGGCGGGTGAGGCCTGGCGTCTTGTCCCCCGGGCCCGTCTCCGCCGGCCGCCTCTGAGGCAGCGTCCCCGCAGGTGCTGGACGTGGGCTGGCCCGAGCTGCACGCACCGCCCCTGGACAAGGTGTGCGCCATCTGCAAGGCGCAGGAGTCCTGGCTGCAGAGCGACCCGCAGCACGTGGTCGTCATCCACTGCAGGGTGAGCCGGGCGTGGGGGGGGGGGAAGAGGGGGCCCCGGGGGGGGGGGGGTCCCCCCCAAGCCCCTCCTGCCGGGGGGGGGGGGGCCCTCCTTGAACCCCTCCTGCCCCGGGGGAGGGGGGCCTCCCTCCCAGAATCCCTCCTGCCCGGGGGGCCCTCCTCCCAGAATCCCTCCTGCCCGGGGGGGGGGGGGGGGGGGCTCCCTCCCAGAATCCCTCCTGCCCCGGGGGGGGGGCGCCCTTCCCTCCCAGAATCCCTCCTGCCCCGGGGGGGGGGCGCCCTTCCCTCCCAGAATCCCTCCTGCCCCGGGGTGGGGGGCGCCCTTCCCTCCCAGAATCCCTCCTGTCCCGGGGGGGGGGGGGGGGGGCGCCCTTCCCTCCCAGAATCCCTCCTGCCCGGGGTGGGGGCCTCCCTCCCAGAATCCCTCCTGCCCTGGGGGGGGGGGGGCGCCCTTCCCTCCCAGAATCCCTCCTGCCCGGGCGGGGGGGGGGGGGGGGGCTCCCCTCCCAGAATCCCTCCTGCCCCGGGGGGGGGGGCTCCCCTCCCAGAATCCCTCCTGCCCCGGAGGGGGGGGCCCTCCCAGAACCCTTCCTGCCCCGGGGGGGGGGGCCCTCCTCCCAGAATCCCTCCTGCCCCGGGGGGGGGGGCGCCCTCCCTCCCAGAATCCCTCCTGCCCCGGGGGGGGGGGGCTCCCCTCCCAGAATCCCTCCTGCCCCGGAGGGGGGGCCCTCCCAGAATCCCTCCTGCCCCGGGGGGGGGGCGCCCTTCCTCCCAGAATCCCTCCTGCCCCGGGGGGGGGGGGGCGCCCTTCCCTCCCAGAATCCCTCCGGGCCGGGGGGCAGCGGCCTGTGGACCAGGTCCCCAGGGCAGTGGCCTCGGTCACGCACGGCCGGGCACGTGAGCAGGTGTCCGGTCTCAGGAGCCCCTTTTAGAGAGAGAGGCACCCAGTGTGCTGCTCGGACCCCCCAGTCTGGTCATTGACCGGGCCTGTGGGCAGGACGCCCGCCGATGGGACTCTGTCCTCGCGGGGCCGAGCGGCCGTGGGAGGGCAGCACCGCCTCTGCCCTGGGCCCGTGTGCGTGCCCTGCTGCCCGGGCTGCTGGCCCCGTGCTGGCCCGCCCTCACCCACGGGAAGCCAGCCCGGCGCGAGGGGCGGGAACACTGACGCTCCTGTCTCCGCAGGGCGGGAAGGGGCGCATCGGCGTGGTGATCGCCTGCTACATGCACTTCACCAACGTCTCCGCCAGGTAGGCTGCACTGCCCGGGCGGCGGGAGGCCGGGCCTGTCCCTGTGCGGCCCCGGGAGAGCCAGCTCAGGCGGAGGCCATGCTCCCGGTCGGGGACAGGCCTGTGCACGCGTGGACACGCTGACACCTGGGGCCTGGGAGACACCGTGCACGCACTGCCTCCCCCGGGCTGCAGGGGGCAGCGCCATATTCAAAGTAGGAGCGGAGCCCGCTCCCTGGGAACGGCCGGGGAGAGATGGCCGCACTCAGGGTGTGCACGCCGGCCAGGGCACTCGCATCCTGTCCCTCGAGTCCCCCGGAGGCAGGTCAGGCTCCCCCCGACAGGAGGACACGCTGGTGGGGTCCGGCGCCGGCTCAGGAGCGGCGGGGCCGGCTCTTGGAGCTGGAAGAGCCGTCCCAGGATGAGCCGCAGGGACGAGCTGCCGCTCCCGCCCCCCCATGGGAGCACAGCGAGCAAGGGGGCCGCAGGCACCCGAGACCCCCGGAGCCCGTGCGCACCCCCGTCCACTCGGCCCTGCGCGGCCCCGGCGTCTCAGTGGCCACGTTGTGCCTCTGCGTCCGTCCGTCCGTCCCAGGAAACAGAAGCCAGTTCAGGGAGCCAGCCCCTCCTCCCTGCAGAGGCCGCCTGCTCCCTCTGTTTTCCCTGGAAACGGAGCTGGGGCCCCGGGAGGAACACCCGCCCGCCCGCCCGCCCGCCCGGGAGGAGCGGATAATGAGCCCTGTGTGCGCTCCCGCTCCAGCCCTCGGCGAGGCCAGCGGCACTTGGCCGGGGACCAGGCTCCCTCCCGCGGCCCCTGCACAGAGCCCCCGTGTTCCTGCCCCACAAGGCGGCTCTGTCTGCACCGACCGCCGGGCGGGCTGGTGGGGCTTCCTCACCGTCACCCTCGAGCGGGCCGAGAGCCGCCTTTCCCGCTCGGCCCGCGAGGACACGCTGCCCCGTCCACGGCCCAGCCTCTCGGGACGCGGGACGCCGGCTGCGGCTGGGCAGGCCCCGCCATGGCGTGGGTCCGTGGCACGCTGACCCAGCGCAGCCGCCGACGTGAGCGGGGAGTGTGGCCCGGGTGACGATAGACGCACCCACAGGGCCCTCGGCAGAAGGTGGCTCCCCACCCGCCCACCCTGCCCGCCCCTCCCGCCACTGCGCCCGGGCGGCAGAGCCACGGGGGCCTGTCAGCGTGCCTGCCACCCCGGAGCGTCAGGGAGCGGTGCGCCCGGGCCACAGACTCCCTCCGAGGTCCAGACGGAAAGTTCCGGGCACCAGCTCCTGGAGACGCGAGGGAGGCAGGCCCCACTCACAGCTGGCCGAGCGTGAGCACAGCCCCGGCCACCAAAACGAGGGGCCTCCAGACGAGGGGCGCAGGGGCTTTTCTACAAAACTCCGGGACCCGGCCCCTCCGGCGGCCCAATGGGGTGGCCGCCGTCCTCCCGTCTGCTCGGCACCTCAGCCTGGCCCCCATTTCTGACGTGTGTCTGGAGCCGTGAGCACGTGTCTCCCAGCAGAGGCCACATGCGGACCTGGTTTTCCAGGAAGCTCTGGGCTGCCGTGAGCCTGTGACGCTGTCTGACCGGCACGTTCCACGGCTGTGCTGAGGTCGGGGTGGGGGAGCCGGGAGGGGTGCCCGGAGGAGCCGGCGTGGAGTGGTCTGACCTCTGAGCGTGTCAGGCTGGGACTCCCCGTGGGAGCATCGGGCGCCCCTGTGGGTTCCAATCACGCCTCTGGGCCTCGGGTGTGTCCACTCCCGTGGCGCTAAGTGGTCCGCCCGCCCATCTCGCCAGAGCCTCCGAAGCCCGGGCGAGTGGCCAGCGGCGCCCCTGGGCCTGGGGGGCCGCTGTCTCCTTCGGGGTGTGGGCTGCAGCTGGGCCCACCGGCCTCGGCGTGTCCGCGGGGCGGGTCCGGCCTCGGCGTGTCCGCGGGGCGTGTCCGCGGGGCGGGTCCGGCCTCAGCGTGTCCGCGGGGCGGGTCCGGCCCCGGCGTGTCCGCGGGGCGTGTCCGCGGGGCGGGTCCGCGGGGCGGGTCCGGCCTCGGCGTGTTCGCGGGGCGTGTCCGCGGGGCGGGTCGGGCCTCGGCGTGTCCGCGGGGCGGGTCCGGCCTCGGCGGGTCCGGCCTCGGCGTGTCCGTGGGGCGGGTCCGGCCTCGGCGTGTCCGCGGGGCGGGTCCGGCCTCGGCGTGTCCGCGGGGCGGGTCCGGCCTCGGCGTGTCCGTGGGGCGGGACCGGGAAGAGGGCCGAGGTTGATGGCTTGGTGCCGCCCGGAGCGGGACCTGTGGGCGCGGCTCTGACAGCCGTCTCTCCCCCAGCGCCGACCAGGCCCTGGACAGGTTCGCCATGAAGAAGTTCTTCGACGACAAGGTCTCGGCCCTGATGCAGCCCTCCCAGAAGCGGTGCGTGTCCGCGTGGACGCGGGGCGGCCGAGCGGCCCGGAGCGGAGGGCGGCTCGCTGGGCGGAGGAGGCCGGCCTCCTGCTGACCCGGCGGCTCTGCCGTAGCCCCTGGCGGCCGGGCCCCGCAGCAGCCGGGCCTCTGGTCCCCGTTCCCCGCCCTGTATCCCTCCGCCCCATGCCACCTCGGGCGCTCCTCCTGTTAGTTCCGGGCGACCGAGGGGCTCGGTGGAGCCTGTCTCCTCACCATCAGCAGCGCCGGCAGCCGGCGGCGGAACGTGGCTTAACGTGCAGAAATGCCTGCTGGGCGCTTCATGCACAGATCCAGCCGCTCTGTTTGAACTAACGGGGCACAGTGCGTGCACTGCGGCGTGACTTAGAGGTTTTAAAAACATAACGAAGCTGAGCCTGCTGGTGTCCGGCCGGAGGGCGGCCGGCCTGGGCGGGGTCCACGCCATGGTCAGATACTGGGGGTTTCCTTGTACGTGGAGTCAGGCCCCGGGAGGAGGGGGCCGTGGTCGGGCAGCATCAGGCGTGGCAGGCTGGGCCCCTGCTCGGTCCCTCCACACCCCGAGCCCCAGGGCCCAGCGAGGGAACATCCCATTAATTGTTTTTATTTTATTTTTTTAATATATTTTTTTGACTTAGAGAGGAAGGGAGAAGGAAAGAGATAGGAACATCTATGACGAGAGAGAATCGTGGATCAGCTGCCCCCCACCCACCCCACACAGGGGATTGAGCCCAAAACCCAGGACTGTGCCCTGACTGGGAGTGGGCCCGGAGCCACGCCGGCCGGGCAGAGCCGTCCCCTGATGGGAATGTGCACACGGGGGCGTGCAGGCACCACCAGAGACACCGGCTGCCCGGCCCAGCCCCCCTCCAGTCCCCACGGGCTGGGCTCCAGGTGCCCCTGAGCCGCTCACTGCCTGTGCCTGCAGGTACGTCCAGTTCCTCAGCGGGCTGCTGTCGGGGACGGTGAAGATGAATGCCTCACCCCTGTTCCTGCATTTCGTCATCCTGCACGGCACCCCCAACTTCGACGTGGGCGGGGGTGAGTGTCCCCGCTGGACGGGCGGGCGCCGGGACCCCCTTCCCCGTTCCCTCTGGGCGGGCACCCTCCATCCTGAGGGCCCTGGTCAGGACTGGACAGGCCACCTGTGTGGTGGGTCACTTGCTTCTCAGGAAGGACAAACAGCCCAGAGGACCCTGGGCCCCTCCCGCTGCCGTCCGACTGCGGTGCTGAGTCCAGCCCGGAAGCAGCGAGTGGGGCTGTTCAGTGCGCCTTCCTCTAGTCACCCTCCCGGGGCCTGCGTGCTTCCTCGCACTCCCGGGCGATCACACCCCCCCTCCCCCCCGCAGTGTGCCGGCCCTTCCTGAAGCTCTACCAGGCCATGCAGCCCGTCTACACCTCGGGGATCTAGTGAGTGTGCGGCCTCCGGGCTAGTGCGGGAGGGGCGTGGGCAGAGGACGCCGAGGTCAGTGTCCTGCCGGCTGGTGCTGCGTCCCCGGCTGGCTTCACTGCCGCCTCCGCCCCCCCCCCCCCCCCCCCCCGCCTCCCCATCTCCCCGCCTCCCCGCCTCCCCGCCTCCCCACCTCCCCGCCTCCCCGCCTCCCCACCTCCCCACCTCCCCGCCTCCCCACCTCCCCACCTCCCCACCTCCCCGCCCCGCTGTCAGGCTCCCCGCCTCCCCTCCTCCCCACCTCCCCGCCTCCCCACCTCCCCACCTCCCCATCTCCCACCTCCCCGCCCCGCTGTCAGGCTCCCCGCCTCCCCTCCTCCCCACCTCCCCGCCTCCCACCTCCCCGCCCGGCTGTCAGGCTCACTGCGGTGGACGGAGGGCGGGCCCGCTGCTGGGGGAAGGAGGCACGTCCCTGTGGTGGCCTTTATGGCGGCCTTTCTCTCTCCTTTGCATTTAGAGAGGATCGATGTACGCTCTACAACTTACTTTTCTTTCTAATATGTTCTTATTGACTTTAGAGAGGAAGGGGGAGAGAGAGAGAGAGAGAAACATCAATGATGAGAGAGCCATGGATCCGCTGCCTCCTGCACGCCCCACACAGGCTTGAGCCTGCACAACCCGGGCCTGTGCCCTGGGGAATTGAACTGTGACCTGGTTTGCAGGTTGATGCTTAACCGTGAGCCAAGCCGGCCGGAGCATGCTCAGAATCTGGCCGTTCTGGGCTGGCTGGTGTTGGCCTAGCGCCTTGTGACGTTCATGAAAATGAGTGAGGCAGAAAGAGTGCTCGCCGCCCCATGGCGCCCTGGGAACCAGCTGCTTGTTTCTGACGCGATGGCCCCAGCCCGGCCCGCGCCCCCTCCGCTCATTCCAGAGGCCAAGGCGGGGCCGTGTCCTCCGCGCCCCTGCCCTCCGGGGGCCTGCAGTCCCGCCGAGGCCTCAGCACTGCCCGCTGGCAGCTTCGCTCCTGAGCCATGTCCCCGCGGCTCCGGAAGCTGGTCGGGCCCCGGGGTGGTGCTTTTCTCGAAACGCCTTCCTCCCTGAAGCCCTGCGATGACGTGACCACAACCTCCTTGTTTTTCCAAAGCAACGTGGGCCCCGAAAACCCGAGTCGCATCTACATCGCCATCGAGCCGGCCCAGCTCCTGAAGGGGGACGTCATGGTGAGTGCGGCCACCACTCAGGCAGTCAGAGACAGTGACCGTGAACCTGGGCCCAGAACCTCAGGAGCTGGTTAATGCGAGGGGAGCCCCTTTACCCAACGGACAGAGTACATCCCTCCTGAGAATGATCTGAGGAATCAGCACCGGAAGAAAAATGCTGGGACCTTCCGGGATGGGGGTGGGCGTGCCCCGGAGTGGGCGTGTCCCTGGAGGGGCGTGTCCGGAGAGGGGTGGGCGTGTCCCGGAGCGCGGTGGGCTTGTCCAGGGAGCCGGGGGCGTGTCCCGGGGTGGACGTGTTCCTGGGAGGGGGCGTGTCCCGGGAGCAGCAGGTCTTTGGTTGCTGAGTCTCTGAGAGGCTAGATGGTACCGGTGCCCCTCCCGCCGGCCACCTCTCTGGGTCCCCGTGACCCGCGGCCACACGTGTGCTCCCTGCGCCGGCCTGGCCGCGTTAGGCCGGGGCCGCGCGCTGCGGGTGGCGCACGTGGATGCGCTCGGCCTTCCTGGACCGCTCTGGCGGCAGCCTTTGGTTCTCCATCCAGAGCGGCACCGAGGCCCTCGGAGAGGCTCCTGAGCCGCGGCAGGCAGGCCGGCCTGGCCCAGGCCACGCTCCCGAGCCTGGGCGGGCGGGAAGGCCCCGTGGCGCGTGGCGCTGCGCTTGTCACCCCTTCACCCCGGGCCGTTGGGTGAGGCCGCCGCGCCCTCACCTGGCGCTGAAGGTCACCGCGCCCGCGGGAGGGCGGCTCCAGTGCCGTAAACACCGCGTTATGTAACTGGGAGGAATGCGCGGGGAGGCCCTGGGAGCAGGGCCAGCTCCGCGGTACACACGTCCCATCCTGCGTGTCTCGTCTTGTGTGCGCGAGCCATGGCCGCGGCGGCTCGGCCCGCTGCAGGCTCCGTCCGGGACGCTCCAGGCCTCCGGGCGCAGAGACAGACCGTTGTGTTCTGCTCCTGCGAGCGCCCAGGAGGCAGGCTTCCCTCTCCCTGCACCTGGCTCCTCGCGGTCACCGGCCTCCCCTGACCCCACCTCCCGCTTCCTGTGCATCGTCCTCCTGACGGTCCATGAGTCCCCCGGCCGCCGGGCTGCTCTCATCGCCCGTGGGCTCAGCGCGGGGCTCAGCGCGGGGCTCAGCCCGGGGGCTCAGCGCGGGGCTCAGCGCGGGGGCTCAGCGCGGGGCTCAGCGGGGGGCTCAGCGGGGGGGGCTCAGCGCGGGGCTCAGCGGGGGGCTCAGCCCGGGGGCTCAGCGCGGGGGCTCAGCGCGGGGCTCAGCGGGGGGCTCAGCGCGGGGCTCAGCGCGGGGCTCAGCGGGGGGCTCAGCGCGGGGCTCAGCGCGGGGCTCAGCGCGGGGCTCAGCGGAGGGGGGGGCTCAGCGCGGGGCTCAGCGGAGGGGGGGGCTCAGCGGGGGCTCAGCGCGGGGGGCTCAGCCCAGGGGCTCAGCCCGGGGGCTCAGCGCGGGGCTCAGCCCGGGGGCTCAGGGCAGGGGCTCAGCACGGGGCTCAGCGCGGGGGGCTCAGCGCGGGGCTCAGCCCGGGGCTCAGCGCGGGGCTCAGCTGGGGGGGGGGGGGGGCTCAGCGCGGGGCTCAGCGCGGGGCTCAGCGGGGGGGGGCTCAGCGGGGGGCTCAGCGCGGGGCTCAGCCCGGGGGGCTCAGCGCGGGGCTCAGCGCAGGGCTCAGCCCGGGGGGCTCAGCGCGGGGCTCAGCGGGGAGCTCAGCGCGGGGCTCAGCCCGGGGGGCTCAGCGCGGGGCTCAGCGCAGGGCTCAGCCCGGGGGCTCAGGGCGGGGGCTCAGCGCGGGGCTCAGCGCGGGGCTCAGCGCGGGGGGCTCAGCCCAGGGGCTCAGCGCGGGGCTCAGCGGGGAGCTCAGCGCGGGGCTCAGCGCGGGGCTCAGCGGGGGGCTCAGCCCGGGGCTCAGCCCGGGGGCTCAGCGCGGGGGGCTCAGCGGGGGCGGGGGGCTCAGCGCGGGGCTCAGCGGGGAGCTCAGCGCGGGGCTCAGCCCGGGGGCTCAGAGGGGGGCTCAGGGCGGGGGCTCAGCGGGGGGCTCAGCGCGGGGCTCAGCGGGGGGCTCAGCGCGGGGCTCAGCCCGGGGGCTCAGCGCGGGGGGCTCAGCGGGGGCGGGGGGCTCAGCGCGGGGCTCAGCGGGGAGCTCAGCGCGGGGCTCAGCCCGGGGGCTCAGAGGGGGGCTCAGGGCGGGGGCTCAGCGGGGGGCTCAGCGCGGGGCTCAGCGGGGGGCTCAGCGCGGGGCTCAGCCCGGGGGCTCAGCGCGGGGGGCTCAGCGGGGGAGGGGGGGCCTCAGCGCGGGGCTCAGCCCGGGGGCTCAGCGGGGGGCTCAGCGGGGGGGGGGGGGGGGGGGGGGGGCTCAGCGCGGGGCTGTGTCCTGGGGCAGCGCCTGCTGATGCTCCTGCGGGATGAAGGCGCAGAGCCTGCGTCATGGGCTCGGAGGCCCCGCGCGTGCTGTGGGACAGCCAGCTCTGCGGTGGGCGCTTGCCCAGGAGACATTCCTGAGGCCTGTCTAGACAGCCATCCCACAGCTGGTGAAATGCCGACTCTCCCGTCAGGGTGCACTGGGGGCCCCCAGTTTTTGTGGTCTGTGTTGCCAGTGGAAGCTGAGATGATGGGGGGGAGGGGGGATGCAGCTGGGGAGGCTGGCCCAGGGCGTGGGGAGCCCGACTGGCGGACGCTGACCCGGGCAGGGCTCCAGGCGCCCTCCAGCCTCGTTCCCTGGGCCGGGGCTGGCTGCTGCGGGTGGAGAAGGGAAGTGGAGCTGCCCCGATGGGCCCAGGGTCAGGCCCGGGGATTGGGGCTGTGAGAACCAGCATCTGCAAAAGCAGCTCAGGGTCCCGCAGTCAGAGCCTCACAAAGGGACCGCCCCCGTGCGCGCCGTCACCACTCGGCGTTCACCCGCACGGGCAGGCGCGTGTGGCTGTCAGCGAGCGAGCGAGGCTGGAGGGGTGTGCAGGCCCACAGCCGCCGCATCCTAGCCGTTCATCACCCTCCGAACCTCACAGCCCATCTCTGCCTTCCCTCTCTGTGTCTCTGTCTCCCCCACCCCTGCTTTCCTCTCTCCCTCCCTGTGCCCGCTGTCTCTCTAACCGCAGCCCATGCACACACACGCTGCACACACATGCTAATGACCACCTGCTGCCTTTGTGGGAACACGGAGAGGGCCGACAGCCGAAAAGCTTCATCACGGGCGTGTGCTGATGTAGAGGAGAAAGGCCGTGGATTCCACACGGCACATGTCTCCCAGAGACTGCCCTCCGGGGTGTCTGCAGGCCGGGGCGGCCCTCTGAGGGCTGAGCGCTGGGCACTGTGCACGGGGTTCCACCTGGCCCTGCTCCCGGCCCTGCTCCAGGGCCCGCGGGGGCTGTCCTGAGCCCCTCTCCGCTCCCACAGGTGAAGTGCTACCACAAGAAGTACCGCTCGGCCACGCGTGACGTCATCTTCCGCCTGCAGTTCCACACGGGCGCCGTGCAGGGCTGCAGCCTGGTGTTCGGCAAGCAGGACCTGGACAGCGCCTGCCAGGGTGAGCCCGCGGACGGGCGGACGGGCGGACGGGCGGACGGCGGGGGGCACCCGCCGCGGGGCCTGTGGGATCCTCTCCTCCCTGCCCCTCCCCCTAACGACCCAATGGACCGAACTGACCAACGGCAGGACAGACGGACGGCGTTTCCGTGCAGGCGCGGGCCTGTCGGGCGTGGGGCGCGGCCTCCGTGGCCCTGTCCCCGCCCGCTGCTCGCTGAGCGCTCTCCGTTGCAGATGACCGCTTTCCCGCCGGCGGGAAGATCGAGCTCCTGTTCTCCGCCTCCCCGGAGAGGATCCAAGGTGGGCGCCGGGCGGGGCCTGCCTGCGGGGGGCGTGGGGTCTCCGGGCTGTCTCCCACCTTCACCCGAGTTTGGAAATGTTCGCGATACAGGCTTTTTAATTTTTGTTTATTTTAAATCCTGACCCGAAGATATTTTTCCCATTGGTTTTTAGAGAGTGAAGGGAGGGGGAGACAGAGAGAGAAAACATCGATGTGAGAGAGACACATCGGTTGGTTGCCCCCAATCGGTCCGGGAACCAGCCTGCAACCCAGGTACGGAATCGAACCTGCAACCCTTCAGTCCCCGGCTGGTGCTGTACCCACATTGTGCAGGCTCCTGATACAGGTCTTAATCACAGGCTGATAGACAGTGGCGAGGATGGGCCACGTCCTGTCCCCTAAGCTCTCTCCTTAAGCTGATCCTGGGACGATTATACCAAATTACTCTTCTCCTTAACGAACACCCATGTGTCTGAAGAAGATCCACGCTCTGGCGTCGGCACACGTTTGTGTTTAAAGCAGATTCTCCTTTTTCTGAAAATACCCTGGAGAGCCACCAGCCCTTTTCCCTCCGGCTCAGGGTTCGTCTGCACCTGAGATCCCTGTGTGGGAGCCGTGCACCCCGCATGCATCGGGTGTGAGGTGCCGCCCTCCGGCTCGGCCCCCCTCAGGCGGGAGCCTCTGAGGGCCACGCGGCCTTCCTCCTGCAGAGCCGGGGGGCTGTCCGGACAGCGGGTGCTGCACAGCGGTGCCAGGCCCGAGGGCAGGCTGACCAGGAGCAGCCCATCGCCCACAGGAGCCTGGGCCGCCGGCTCTGCTGACCGCCCGCCCCCGCCCGCAGGCTGTGAGCGCTTCCGCGGCGACCGCGGCGTGAGCGTGGACTTCGACACGGCCGACCCCCTGCTCCGCTGGGACTCGTACGAGAACCTGGGCGCCCACGGGGAAGGTGCGTCGGGGCTGGCTGCTGCCACGCTGGGGGGATCGGTCCCCAGGACCAGGCTCTCGGCGGGGCGGCGATGGGCGTGCCGGTCAGTAAGGGACCAGCCGGCCTGTCCCAGCGGCCGGCCCCTCCCCCCTCTCGTGGCGCACGGCGGCGGGGTCGGCGGCGGGGTCGGTCGGGGCTGTGGCAGCCGGCCTTCCCCACACCTGCTCTCGGCACACCTCCAAGCGTGCCCTCTGTGGGGCCGCCGTGAAGCAGGGAGGGCGGTGTGTGCCGGTGTACGGGGAGGCCGAGGAGGAGATCCGTGTCCGTGGGCACAGAGGGCTCCTGGGCTCCTGAGAACTCAGTGCTTCTCCTTCAACCGGCGACTGAGAACTGACCCCGGTGACTGCAGGCCCAGCTCCCCGCAGGGGCACTTCCTCCTGGGAGGGGGGGGCGGGCCCAGGCCTCCCCGCAGGGGCACTTCCTCCTGGGAGGGGGGGCGGGCCCAGGCCTCCCTGCAGGGGCACTTCCTCCGGGAGGGGGGGGGCGGGCCCAGGCCTCCCTGCAGGGGCACTTCCTCCTGGAGGGGGGGGGGCGGGCCAGGCCTCCCTACAGATGCACTTCCTCCTGAGGGGTGGGCCCAGGCCTCCCTGCAGGGGGACTTTCTCCTGTGAGGGGGGGCCCCAGGCCTCCCTGCAGGGGCACTTCCTCCTGGAGGGTGGGCCCAGGCCTCCCTGCAGGGGCACTTCCTCCTGGGGGGCGGGCCTAGGCCTCCCTGCAGGTGTACTTCCTCCTGAGGGGGCGGGCCCAGGCCTCCCTGCAGGTGTACTTCCTCCTGAGGGGCGGGCCCAGGCCTCCCTGCAGGTGCATTTCCTCCTGAGGGGCAGACCCAGGCCTCCCTGCAGGGGCACTTCCTCCTGGGAGGCTCAGACATCCTGGAGGAAAACCCGCCGCCTTTAAATGTGTGCTCACGGAGCCAGGAGCAGAGAGAAGGGCCCGGTGCACGCGCCCCACACAGCCCCTCCCGTGTCGTGGGTGCGGGGTCCCCTCCCCTCCCCCGTCTCAGCAGAGGTCTGGGCGTTCCTCCCACGGTGTGCAGGGCCTGCGTTGGGGAGAGAGGGGAGGAATTGTGACAGCTCGGCCAGGGACAGGCGGAGGCGCAGGCGCCGGGCTGGGCGGAGGCAGTGGACTTGGCACTGGCTGGCGGGGCGAGGAGCCTGGAGCGGCCTGCCTCGTGGAGCTTTTCTCCGCCTCCTGGGCCTCCGGGTTCAAATTTCACCAGCCTGATTGCACAGCCCCACCTCGTGTTTACACCGCCCGCCTTTGGGGAGTCAGAGTCCCCGCTCAGCCAACAGGCTGCTCCCCTCCTGTGCTCGCTCACGGGGCGGGAGCCGGGGCGGGAGCCGGAGGCGGCGGCCTCGGGAGGCACGCCCCCGGGATGCGGATCCTCTGGGCTGAGCTTTCTTCCCGGAAAAGGAAAAGCGGTCCCACGGAGACGGAGGGACTGGGCGGTGTGGAAGGTAGGCAGGCATGTGCCTGTGTACGCGAGTGTGTGCGCGCACGTGTGCGGTGTGGGCAGGCAGCTTCTGCCATCCCCCAGCACCCGGACAGCCGTTCTGCCTGGGGCCGTGCAGCAGACAGGGTTGGAGGCGGGAGACGGGGTGGGGCGCGGGGGAGGCTGGGAGCCCGGTGACAGCCGCCTGGGGGACTGTTACTGCCTCTCCAGATGGGAGGTTGGAGGCGGCGTGTCTGAGAGGCTGCCAGGCCGGAGCCCGGGGCGTGCTGGCGGGTTGGGGCGCAGGAGAGGGGCCGTGCCGGCCCCCGCAGTCGCCACGTCCAGTCGCCACGTCCAGGACATGCCAGCCACTCGGTGCCCCACGCCGTAGCGGCTGTGGCGGCCGCATGCCGGAGCCGGAGCCGCGCCCGACACCGGCGGAGCCTCCCTGGGGCTGGTCCCACAGGCACGCCCCTCCGGAGGCGCCGGCCGCTGGTTGGAATGCCGCCTCCTCCGCCTGCTCTTCCTTCTCATCTGTGTCTCCCAGAAGCTAGGGCTGCTGCTTCCAGAAAACACGCGCACAGCCACGCGCACAGCCCCTGCGGCATGGCAGCGTGGCACTGCCCGGAGCCTCCGCCTGGCAGCTCAGGCCGCCGAGTTCGGGCTCGGCTCCGAGGAGTTTGGGGGCTCGGCTCCGAGTTCGGGGCCCGGCTCCGAGTTGGGGGCTTGGCTCTGAGTTTGGGGGCTCGGCTCCGAGTTCGGGGCCTGGCTCTGAGTGTGATGCTCGGCTCTGGGTTCGGGGCTCGGCTCTGAGTTGGGGGCTTGGCTCTGAGTTGGGGCCCGGCTCTGAGTGTGATGCTCGGCTCTGAGTTTGGGGCTCGGCTCTGAGTTGGGGCCCAGCTCTGAGTGTGATGCTCGGCTCTGGGTTCGGGGCTCGGCTCTGAGTGTGATGCTCGGCTCTGAGTTGGGGGCCCGGCTCTGGGTTTGGGCTCACCAGGCATGCCTCCTCAGGAAGAGAAGGAGGTGCTGGGGGCACTGCTGGAAGCCGCCTGGGGAGCAGTGGCGTTTGTCTGTCAGAAGGCAGGCCGCACGTCATGTCTGGGGACGGAGTGGTCTGTCACCATCCTTGGCTGCTCCTGTTTTTATAAAAAGAGGCCAAGGGCGCAGTGAGGCTGCCGTCGGCCGCCCGGGGTCTGCCGGCCAAATGGATGTTCCCAGAAGCCAGGGCGGTGGATGGGCGGGTGGCGGCTGTTGGCCTGGTTCTCCCTGCGCCCGCGGGAAGCAGTTCCACCAAAGGGAGGCGCGTCGTCCCGAGCGGAGGCGGCTCTGTGGCAGGGAGGTGTACGCGGATCTGGCAGCAGTCAGCGCTGCCGCGACCCGGGAGGGACAGACGACTGCATGTGGCCTGGGCAGGGGCTTTCGGAACTGGATACGTTTTTTAAATCCGTTCTCCAGCACGGTCCTCTGAGCGTGAGGTCCGTGGAGCTGGGTCAGGCACACGCAGTGGTCAGACACGAGGGGACTCCCCGTCCCCCAGCCTCTGCGCCCGGGATGGACACCGTGGCGCCAGGGCAGCCCCAGCGAGGCACCGAGAGGCCGCCCAGAGGGAAGGTGCCGGAAGCCCGGAAGGCGAGGAAGACGGGCAGCTGCCTGTGGACGGAGGAGGCGCGGCTAATGCGCAGGGAGGTCAGGGCCAGGCGCCTCCCAGGAAGAGCCGGGCTGCCATTGGGGCGGGAGGCCCTGGGGGGAGCAGGGGGCGGAGGCAGAGGAGGAGGGAGCCCCGCAGGGGGACTCATTCTGTGTGCGTCTTAGGTCTGTCTTCATTTCATGAACATTTTTATTTTACTTTTTGAAACACATTTTTATTGATTTCAGAGAGAATGAGAGAGGGAGAGAAACGTCAATGATGAGGGACAATCATTGATCGGCTGCCTCCTGCACACCCCTTACTGGGGATCGAGCCCACAACCCAGGCCTGTGCCCTGATGGGGAATTAAACCCTGACCTCCTGGTTCATAGGTTGATGCTCAACCACTGAGCCACGCCAGCTGGGCTCACTTCATTTTAAAAAAATACATATATTTTTTGATTTTTTACAGAAAGGAAGGGAGAGGGATAGAGAGTTAGAATCATCGATGAGAGAGAATCGTCCATCAGCTGCCTCTTGCACACCCCCTACTTGGGATGTGCCCACAACCAAGGTACATGCCCTTGACGAACCCGAGACCTTCCAGTCCGCACTCTGTCCACTGAGCCACACCGATTTCGGCTCACGATGATTTTTACATTGAGGTGTGATTTGCATGCAGGGGAGTTCACTCTGATAGTGCAGTCGTAGCAGTTTGGCCTGTTGTGAACCCACCCTTCCTTTTCAGGTCATTCCCTGCAGGTCCCTCCCTCCCCCCTGGCCCGCCCCCCTCTCCCTCCCTCCTTACCCCCTCTCCGCCCCTCCCCCCGCCTCCCGGCCCTGGGCCCTGGGCCTGGCAGAGCGGAGCCCGTGGAGCTGTGCTCACGCAGAGCGTTGGACACAGGCAGATGGTGGGTTGTCTCTCCTCTGGACACGTCTCCTGGGGGCCAAGGCCGTGGGCCTCCGTGGCCATGGGGAGCTGTGGAGGTGGTTCTGGGTGTACTGGACGTACCGGGTGGTTTGGCTGGTGGCCAGGGGAGTGAGTCCCTGGGAGCACCCGGGGGCTGCTGGGCTGTGTCCAGAGGAGCCATCCCGCAGCGGGGCAGGCGGGCGGGCGGGGGCCGTCCCTCACGGGCTGAGCCTGGGCGAGCTGAGCGGCCATGGGGACCGGCCGGGGCCAAAGTGCTCGTCCGCCCAGCGGCTGCCGAGCCGGCCTCCCTGGGACAGGAGCCGCCTCAGGACCGGGGTCGGGTCTTGGCTAAGGAGTGGCGTGTGCGTGTGGAGCTGCAGGGAAAACATTCAGTTGCTGACGGCACAGACAGCGGTGGGTCTGGGGTTCCTGCGTTTTAAGGGGCAGAAGCAGACGAGGCGGATGGAATTCCTGGGGGGGCTCAGCGGGTTCCATCGCAGCCCGCAGCCCGCAGCCCCAGCCTCCGGTCCTCCCCTGTGGGCTCCCGGCCGCTGTGGCCCGCATTGTGGGGACTCCCGCGGCCGCCCTGGCTCCGGAGGTGCTGGGACGAGCCCTGGGCCCCACCGGGTTTCGGGCTCCCTTTTCCTCTGACGTGGAAGTAGCACACCTAGAGCAGCCTTCCCGGCCACACCCCTCTCATCCTCCTCTTCCCGCCTCTGCCCCCTGGCCCCGCCCCCCTCTGCTCCTTCCCTCCCTGGCCCCCCTCTGCCTCGGAGGACCGCCTTCGTCTTCGAGGCGCACGCTTCCTCAGGAGAGGTTCTGGGGGGGGGGCATTTCCAAAGAAACTCAGAAAAAGGGGGGAGGGTAGATGCAAATGCCCCCCTCCTGCCAAAGACGGCCAGCTTCTCCGCGGAGACCTTCAGGGGAGGGGGCACAAAGTTGCTTTTCTTAAAAATTGATTTATTTTAATAATTTTTTTTTTTTTTTTTTTTTTTTTTTTTTTTTAAGCAAGAGAGAGGAAGGGAGAGGGATAGAGATGGAAACATTGATGAGAGAGAGAGACACATCATGACTGGCTGCCTCCTGCACACCCCCTCCCCCCAGGGATGGAGCCTGCAATGCAGGCATGTGCCCTCACTGGGAATCAACCGTGGCCTGTTGGTTCCTGGCTTGACCGATGCTCAACCGCTCAGCCACACCGGCCAGGCAAAACATTGGTTTTTTAAGTAAACCTGTCACCCAGGAGGACAGGTTCATAGAGGCGGCGCAGGGAGACCCCAGGGGCTGACTTTTTGCTGGAAGCTGGGCTGGGGCATTACATTCAGTTCTGCACCTTTGGGGCTCGGTGCTTAGCATTTGGAAGGAGTGCCTGTAACACATCTATGAGCGTACACCTGAGCACACGTGTGAGCCCACACCTGGCCACGCCTGTGAGTACACGTGTGAGCACACACCTGGGCACAGGCCTGAGTGCACAGGTGGATACTGGTTAATTTGTGCTCGGCCGTGATGGGAAGGACTGTTTTCTCAGGTGACTTTGGAAGTATTTTCTGAGAACCTCTCCCCTCTGTGAGAAAGTGCCTGTCAGAAGCCAGGGGTCGGGGTGGGTGGGGTCGGTGACGCAGCCGCCGCCTGCAATGAGGCCGCTCCTCCTCCGGCCCTCCACGCTGCGCCTCCGTGTCCCAGGGCAGGCGGGCCGTGTCTGAGTCTGCCCTCTTGCCGCTGGCCCTCCTGGCCAGAGACGCCGCAGTGTCTCCCTCCCTCAGGGACACACACAGGCGTGAGCAGATCCAGTGCGGTCTGTCCAACGGGAGTGCCCGCTCAGGGGCTCCCACTGGGAGGGAGGCCTGCCCGGTCCTCAGGGCACGTTCCTGCTGGGTGTTCGGGGTTAGCAGGCAGAGCTGAGCTCAGCACCCACCTGCTGGGGAAGCCAGCGGGCCCTCTGGCAGGGCCCTGAGTGGCCGTCTCTGCACAAAAAGACGTGGCCCTGGCTGGATGGGGTGTCAGCCTGCAGACTGAGGGGTTCCGGGTTCGATTCCCGGTCAGGGCTCCATCCCCAGTGTGGGGTGTGCAGGAGGCAGCGGATCAATGATTCTCCCTCATCATTGATGTTTCTCTCTCTCTCTCTGAATCAATAAAAATCTTTTTAAAAGAAGAAAAAAGAAAAATTCATTTTAAAAAGAAACAGGCAGAGCCATCGGGGCCTGGCACAGATCCCTGGGCTGCTTCCGTGGCTTCCGGGGCAGAGCCGGGCCTGGTCCTGCGGGCTGTCCGTTGGGAACGGGCCTGTCTGGACAGATGCCCAGCCCGCCCCTGACTGACCGCCTCCCCCCCTCCTCAGTGCTGCACACGCAGGGCCCCGTGGACGGCAGCCTGTACGCCACCGTGCGGAGGAGCGCCCCGGAGCCCGCCGTCCCCGCCGGCAGCCCCGACCACAGCGACCACGCCCTGTCGGTGAGCAGCGACTCGGGCCACTCCACGGCCTCGGCGCGGACCGACCGGACCGAGGAGCCCCCGGGCCCGCGGGCTCTGAGCCCCCAGGAGAAGGCCGCGCTGGACCAGCTGCTCAGCGGCTTCGGCCTGGAGGACCCCGGCACCCCCCTCCAGGACATGACCGAGGCCGGCGGCAGGGTCAGCGGGACGCGCCACGTCGTGCCGGCCCAGGTCCACGTGAACGGGGACGCCACGCCCAAGGACCGGGAGACGGACATCCTGGACGACGAGGTGCCCGCCCACGACCTGCGCAGCGCGGGCAGCGTGGGCACCCTGTCCTCCTCGGAGGGGCACCCGTCCGCCGCCCTGGGCCCCTTCGCCGGCCGCCAGAGCAGCCACAACTCGCTGCTGTCGGACGGGCTTGGCAGCAGCGCCGGGGAGGACCCGCACGGCGCCCACGGCGCGGACCCGGGCCCGGGCGGGGGGCCCCTGTGCGGGCGGGAGGCGTTCGGCGGCTGTGAGCCCCAGCTGCCGCGGCCCGAGCTGCGGGCGCCCTGTGCGCTGGCCCAGGCGCAGGCCTACGAGCCGGGCGGCTACCCCACGCAGACCTGGGTGCGCCAGCAGCAGATGGTGGCCACCCACCAGTACAGCTTCGCGCCCGCGGGGGAGGCCCGGCTCGTCGCCCGCGGCACGGCGGACAGCGCCCGCGCGGCACAGGCTCCGCCGGGGCACCCGGCCGCCCCCGCCCAGGGGGCCGGCAGCAGAGTGGCCGTGGGCTCCGGACCTCACCCCCCTGACACCCAGCGGCCCGCCCCCGGCAAAGCCCGGCTCCCGGGCGTCTGCGTGGTGAACGGGACCGGCCCGGAGCCCGGCCCGGACCCCACCCCCGGCTCCCCCACCCTGGACATCGACCATTCCATCGAGCAGCTCAACAGGCTGATCCTGGAGCTGGACCCCACCTTCGAGCCCCTCCCCACCCACTTGAACAAGCTGGGCGGCCTGGCCAGCAGCCCCTCGGCCCCCGGCGGCGTGGGGGGCGGGCCCCGGGCCAGCGGCCGCCTGCAGGACCGCGGAGAGGACGCCGGCAGGGCCCCCGGGCCGCAAGGTGAGCTGAGCCTCCTGGCGCACCCGCGTTGCGCTGTGCAGGCAGCGAGGAGGGAGCGGGTGGAGGCGGCAGCTGGCCCTGGGCGCAGGCCAGGCAGGGAGGCCCCTGTGCTGCCCCAGGTGCAGGGGGCTGAGCGCCCGGCAGGTCCTGTCAGTGGGTGGGGGCGTGCGGAGGGACGATGGGGAGAGGCAGGTTCCGGAGGGCAGGCTGAGATGGCGGGACCCAGGACGGGAGCTCCAGGGCCCAGCACAGGACAGGCAGCCGGTGGGGACGCTGCAGCCGAGGGCCGTGCCCGAGGAGCCGGCCTGCAGGGCCCATATCGAGATGCAGTGGAAGGAGCAGCCCGGCCGTCCTGCCCAGCCAGACGGAAGGCCAGGTGACCACAGTGGCAGGCAGTGACCTGCAGTGTGGACGGGAGGGGGTCAGGCTGGGGACCACCCAGTGGCTTTAGCTTCGTAGGTTTTCCTGAGGAGGGAACGCGTCCTGGTGGCTCCTGGCGCTCGTGAGGAAGGGCCGAGCGCGGGCGGGGAATGCCGCTCCTTGGAGGGTGCTGAAATGGTGTGGGAAGCACACCCTTCAGTTCCCGGGACTGTTCCTTTAAAGATCTTTCACGTCCTCACTGGCTTCAGAGAGAGGAAGGGAGAGAACGTGGACCCCTGCCTCCTGCATGGGCCCAACCAGAGCCCGGAGCCCAGCCCAGCCCAGGCGTGTGCAGGCATCGAACCACCGCCGTGGGGGTGGGGGTGGTGTTCCCACCACGGAGCCACCGGCCGGGGCGTGGCCGCAGCTCTGCCTGGAGAGCACGCCTGTCCTCTGTGCACCCTGACTCGGGGACGGGGAGGAGGCCCTGACGGCCACCAGACCCCAGGCCCCGGCGGTCCTCGCCTTCCGTTCAGCGGCAGGATGTCCGCCCAGTGCCCGCCTCCGGCAGGAAGCCGGCCGTCAGGGGTGCCCTGCGCTCAGGGCGGTCAGGTCAGCAGGTTCCTATCAGCAAACAGACACAAAGTCTGACCTCTGTGACACCGGAAATGACCGTGACCTCCTGGCAGGAAGGCTGTGCACCGCTGACCCCGAGCCACAAATGGCCCAAGCACAGCCTGGCTCTTGGCCTCAGGCAGGCAGAGCGGGCAGAGCGGGCAGCGGGCAGGCAGAGTGGGCAGAGCAGGCAGAGCGGGCAGCAGGTGAGCAGAGCAGGCAGCAGGCGGGTAGGCAGAGCGGGCAGCAGGTGGGCAGAGCGGGCAGCGGGCGGGTAGGCAGAGTGGGCAGAGCGGGCAGCAGGCAGCAGGCAGGCAGAGCGGGCAGCAGGTGGGCAGCGGGTGGGCAGAGCGGGCAGCGGGCGGGTCCGGTCCCCACTAGCACCGTGCTCCCCTCCTCTCACCGGGCGGCTCGGGCTCCGCCTGCTCAGGCGGCGTGTTCCGTGTGTGACCGCGTGGCGGGCGGTGTCGCTCCGTGCTGATGGGCTGCTGAGCCGTTCGACTTCCTGGCACGGAATTGGCCGTGAGCCGGGCCGGGTGTTTGGACGCCTGCTTTCAGCGCCTGGCGCCAGGCGGTGGTGCTCGCCCAGGGCCCGCCGTATGAGCGGCTGAGGACGGCCTGGGCCTGCACAGCGGACCCCTGGGCCCCGGGAGAACTACTCACCGCAGTGGGTGGAGGTCAGAGGTCAGGCCAGGACACGCCCCGGCTTCTGTCGGAAGCCGTGAGCGTCGCCCTGTGCCACGGCACGCTCGGAGGGCTCTGGAAACTCCCTCGCACCCTGCGTGAGAGCCCAGAGGCGGCCCCGAGGGGCCGGGGCGAGCCGCCGTGAGGCTGAGGCGCAGGAGGAACAGCCCCAGCCGGTCCTCGGCTCCCAGCGGGTCCCTGTGCGCCTCCGTCTGCCCTCGGGGGCAGCTCACGAGGGGGAGTGGGGGCAGGAGCGTGGCCAGGCGTCTCCCTCTGACTCCTCCGACCCCACCCGGCACCTCAGTGCTCCCGGGAGAGCCTGTTCACAAGGCGGGAGTCTCGTACCCTGACCCGACCCTCCCTGTGCCCGGCCCTCACCCCCTCCCTGTATCCGGCCCTGCCCCCTCCCCGTGCCCGGCCCTCACCCCCCCCCCCCGTGCCCGGCCCTCACCCCCCCTCCCTGTGCCCGGCCCTCACCCCCCTCCCTGTGCCCTGCCCCCCCCTCCCTGTGCCCGGCCCTCACCCCCCCCCCCCGTGCCCGGCCCTCACCCCCTCCCTGTGCCCGGCCCTCACCCCCCCTCCCTGTGCCCTGCCCCCCCTCCCTGTGCCCGGCCCTCACCCCCCTCCCTGTGCCCTGCCCCCCCTCCCTGTGCCTGGCCCTCACCCCCCTCCCTGTGCCCGGCCCTGCCCCCTCCCTGTGCCCGGCCCTCACCCCCTTCCCTGTACCCGGCCCTGCCCCCTCCCTGTGCCCGGCCCTCACCCCCCCCCCGTGCCCGGCCCTCACCCCCCTCCCTGTGCCCTGCCCCCCCCTCCCTGTGCCCGGCCCTCACCCCCTCCCTGTGCCCGGCCCTGCCCCCTCCCTGTGCCCGGCCCTCACCCCCTCCCTGTGCCCGGCCCTCACCCCCTCCCTGTGCCCAGCCCAGCCCCCTCCCTGTGCCCAGCCCTCACCCCCCCTCCCTGTACCCGGCCCTCACCCCCTCCCTGTGCCCGGCCCTCACCCCCCCTCCCTGTACCCGGCCCTCACCCCCTCCCTGTGCCCGGCCCTCACCCCCTCCCTGTGCCCGGCCCTCACCCCCCCTCCCTGTACCCGGCCCTCACCCCCTCCCTGTGCCCGGCCCTCACCCCCTCCCTGTGCCCGGCCCTCACCCCCCCTCCCTGTACCCCGGCCCTCACCCCCTCCCTGTGCCCGGCCCTGCCCCCTCCCTGTGCCCGGCCCTCACCACACACACACACACACCCCCCCCCCGTGCCCGGCCCTGGGACTCGCTCCGTCACTGGGTCAGCGTCCGCTCTCGGTTTTCCTGGCCCCTCCCGTGTGCAGCCGTGTTCCAGGCCTCCAGGTGCCGCCGGAGGTGGCCGGGAGCCCTGTCTCTGAGAAGCCTGCGGCGGCCCCTGAGACGCAGCGTCTCTCGCACAGGCTCCCCGGGCGACGAGCTGCTGCGCAGAAGGTTCCGGAAGCTGAGCCTCGGGCAGTACGACAACCACGTGGGAGGGCCCGCCTTCCCGCAGTGCGGGTGGGGGACCCCACCTTTCCTGTCGCCAGCCGATGCCAAGGAGGTACGCCCCTCTGCAGCCCTCCACAGGCCCTCCCCACCACAGCCCCCTCCGCAGCCCCCCCCGCAGCCCCTCCCCCCGCAGGCCCTCCCCCCGCAGCCCCTCCCTCCCCCGCAGGCCCTCCCTCCCCCGCAGGCCCCCCCCGCAGGCCCTCCCCCCGCAGCCCCTCCCTCCCCCGCAGGCCCTCCCTCCCCCGCAGGCCCCCCCCGCAGGCCCTCCCCCCGCAGGCCCTCCCTCCCCCGCAGGCCCTCCCCCCACAGCCCCTCCCTCCCCCGCAGGCCCCCCCCCACAGGCCCTCCCCCCGCAGCCCCTCCCTCCCCCGCAGGCCCTCCCACCGCAGCCCCTCCCTCCCCCGCAGGCCCTCCCCCCGCAGGCCCTCCCTCCCCCGCAGGCCCTCCCCCTGCAGCCCCTCCCTCCCCCGCAGGCCCCCCCCCACAGGCCCTCCCCCCGCAGCCCCTCCCTCCCCCGCAGGCCCTCCCACCGCAGCCCCTCCCTCCCCCGCAGGCCCTCCCCCGCAGGCCCTCCCTCCCCCGCAGGCCCTCCCCCTGCAGCCCCTCCCTCCCCCGCAGGCCCCCCCCCACAGGCCCTCCCCCCGCAGCCCCTCCCTCCCCCGCAGGCCCTCCCACCGCAGCCCCTCCCTCCCCCGCAGGCCCTCCCCCCGCAGGCCCTCCCTCCCCCGCAGGCCCTCCCCCTGCAGCCCCTCCCTCCCCCGCAGGCCCCCCCCCACAGGCCCTCCCCCCGCAGCCCCTCCCTCCCCCGCAGGCCCTCCCCCCGCAGGCCCTCCCTCCCCCACAGGCCCTCCCCCCGCAGGCCCTCCCTCCCCCGCAGGCCCTCCCCCTGCAGCCCCTCCCTCCCCCGCAGGCCCTCCCTCCCCTGCAGGCCCTCCCCCCGCAGGCCCTCCCCCCCCAGGCCCTCCCCCTGCAGGCCCTCCCCCCGCAGCCCCTCCCTCCCCTGCAGCCCCTCCCCCCGCAGGCCCTCCCCCCGCAGCCCCTCCCCCCGCAGGCCCTCCCTCCCCCGCAGCCCCTCCCCCTGCAGGCCCTCCCCCCGCAGGCCCTCCCCCCGCAGCCCCTCCCTCCCCCGCAGGCCCTCCCCCCGCAGGCCCTCCCTCCCCTGCAGGCCCTCCCCCCGCAGGCCCTCCCCTGCAGGCCCTCCCCCCGCAGGCCCTCCCCCCGCAGCCCCTCCCTCCCCCACAGGCCCTCCCCCCGCAGGCCCTCCCCCGCAGGCCCTCCCTCCCCTGCAGGCCCTCCCCCCGCAGGCCCTCCCCCCCCAGGCCCTCCTCCTGCAGGCCCTCCCCCCGCAGCCCCTCCCTCCCCTGCAGCCCCTCCCCCCGCAGCCCCTCCCCCCGCAGGCCCTCCCCCCGCAGGCCCTCCCCCCGCAGGCCCTCCCTCCCCCGCAGCCCCTCCCCCTGCAGGCCCTCCCCCCGCAGGCCCTCCCCCCGCAGCCCCTCCCTCCCCCGCAGGCCCTCCCCCCGCAGCCCCTCCCTCCCCTGCAGGCCCTCCCCCCCCCCGCAGGCCCTCCCCCCGCAGCCCCTCCCTCCCCCGCAGGCCCTCCCCCCGCAGCCCCTCCCTCCCCCGCAGCCCCTCCCCCACTGCAGCCCCCCCCCACAGGCCCTCCCTCCCCCACAGGCCCTCCCCCCGCAGGCCCTCCCCCCGCAGCCCCTCCCTCCCCCGCAGGCCCTCCCCCCCCGTAGCCCCTCCCCCCCCGCAGGCCCTCCCTCCCCCGCAGGCCCTCCCCCCACAGCCCCTCCCTCCCCCACAGGCCCTCCCTCCCCCCACAGGTCCTCCTTCCCCCACTGCAGCCCCCCCCCACAGGCCCTCCCTCCCCCGCAGGCCCTCCCCCCGCAGCCCCTCCTTCCCCCGCAGGCCCTCCCCGCCCACCTGTCCCCGGTCCCTCTGCCCCTGACCCCCGGGTGGGGCTGTGGGTGGGGAGCCAGCCCGGTCCCCGTCCCCACCCTCAGGCCCTGACGAGGCGGCCCGGCCGGCCGTGTCCCTTTCAGATGGGGACCCCCGACGAGGGGGCGGTCGACGGCAGGGCCTTCTCTCCGAGCAAGACCGGCAGCTGCGGGTCGCCCACCCCGGCGTTTCCCCTGTCTCCCCCGCCGACACCCTACGGTGAGGACCAGGGAGGGCGCCCGGGACCCGCCTCGGGGGCGGGGGCGGAAACCGGGCCCTGTAGGCGGGAGGCCCCGCGCTCCTGCGTGGGTGAGGCGGCCTCGCTGGCCTCGTGCCCTGCTGCCCTGGCCCTCGTGTCCCCGACGCCGGGCACGGCCCTCGAGCGCCAGGCACGGCAGCCGCCGGCGGGACAGCTTCCGGAGCGTTCCGTGCCGGCCGGCCTGCTCCGGCCCGGGGCGGGAGGGGCGGGACCAGACAGGCTGGCTGCGTGGGCGCCCCCTCCCGTCCTCCCGCGGCCCCGGAGCTGAGCCTGACCCTCCGAGCGCCGGCCGCCTCGCTGAGCCTGGGTCGGGCCCGCAGGCCGTGGACATCGGGCCTGGTCCCCAGGCGGCTGGGGGTGTGCGGGCGCCCTGGCCGGTGGAGCCTGGGTGCTTCCCTTCCGGGTGCCGGCCGGCGCCCTGCGGCCTCCGTTCCTTCCCAGGCGAGCCGGGCCGGGCGGACCTGGAGGGGGCGGGGCGGTCCTCCCGGCCCAGGCCCTGCGGGACTCGTGGGGAGCCTTGGGGTGACAGCTGAGGAGGGTCAGCCCTCTGAGTCACTGAGGGCCGTGGGGGCGCAGACGGACATTGGGGTGTTCACCCTGGAACCTGGGGGCCCCAAACGAGGGTGTCCGTTGCCAGAGGGGCCCTGGCAGAGCATCCTGTTTGGGTTAGATCCTGCCACGTTTCAGTTCCCGTAGACTTACCATGACACGTGTGTGTACCGTGTGTGTGCGTGTTGGTGTGGTCACGGCTGTTTTTCTGCATGAGGAAAAGGCCACGTGAAAAGTTAGCTTTGTTTTCCGATGGGTCAGCCGGTGGTGAGGGACGGGGAGGGACGCCTGACCCCCGGAGGGAGGCCATGGTCCCGCCCGTGGGCCACGCAGTCTCGGAGACTCTGTGTGACGTGCCCCAGAGCACACCCACCCCTCGGCCCTCGCCGCTGCCCACCCTGGGAGCGCCGTCTGTCAGTCTGTCTGTGTCCGTCCCAGCCCTTCCTGGGCTTGGCGCTGGGCCGCCTTCCCCCTGCAGGAGCGAGGGGCGTGGGAAAGCTGGGCCGCCTCGCTGAGCCTGCATTTCCGACAGCCTCTGCCCGAGACAGGAAACAACAAGCAGAGGAAGTGCCTCACCGGAGGGCCCGGGCCTTCCTGCGGTGCCCGGAGTGGCCGGGGGTGCCCGCCGGGCAGGGACGTCTGGCGTGTCCGGGAGGGCGTGAGCGGGCGGTGTCCGCGCTGGCAGGGGTGTTGGTGGGCTGTGCCCGACCCGTGAGGCAGGCGAGGGGAGGGGTGGCTGCCGCCCACACACAGAGCCCTCTGCTCCAAGGACTTGTTCCTGTAGCTTCCAGGTACAGGAACGGAGCACGCGCTGCCTGAGGGGACAGGGTCCCACGTCCTGTGACAAGGGGTCATTTGAAATGGGTTTTGACGAATGTGTAGGAGTTCTTCACCAGCTGGTGTGTGGGGTTGACCTTTCAGATAGAGGGCAGAGTATGAGCAGAGAAGAGGGAGAAAGGGCCAGAGTGTGAGCAGCCTGCTGGCAGGAGGGGCCCAGCAGGTGAGTCCGCAGACGGCTCCGGGCGGGGAGTCCACCTGGTCAGGAAGGGCCTGCGGGCTGGGCAGGGCACGGGCTGGTGGAAGGTCCCAGCACTCAGGCAGGCGGCCGGCCGGCTGAGCGGGCCTGGGGGTGCCCCCCCTAGGGGCAGGGGCAGGGGCAGGGGCACGGCTGACTGGCCATTCTGGTGCCTGCCAGACGGTTCTCCGCTGTGAGCATGGAGCCAGGGAACCAGGTCCCATTGGCGAGGGGGCTCCCGAAGGGCAGGTCCTGGGGGCGACCCCCGGGTGGCGCTGGCGGACTGAAGGGAAGAGGCAGAGCAGAGGGTTTCCCTGCGGGGTTTACGAGATGAAAGGGAGGAGAAGGAAGCGGGGAGGACTCCAGAGGAAGCGACCACAGAGCTGAGCGGGCGGAGCCACTGTGCCCAGACCGAACTGACCGCCAGGCCCACCCACCCCGCCCCAGCCCCCCTCACCACACACACACACACACACACACTCTGCCCAGCGCACACACTCCGCCCAGCACACACACACACACACACACACACACTCCGCCCAGCACACACACACACACACACACACTCCGCCCAGCGCACACACACACACACACACACGCACACACTCCGCCCTGCGCGCGCACACACACACACACACACACACACACACACTCCGCCCAGGCCAAGGCTCAGGGCGTCTGTGAATGGGCCTCCGGGTGGTGGCCCAGCTCCCCCGGGACAGGATCAGAGTGGCTCTGCCCAGTGGGTGTGGGAGCCGCTGGCCACACAGGGCCTGGGGGACCGGCCCCAGGCCCTTCCCTGGACAGACTGCGCCCGGCACCCAGGTGAGCTCAGCCCAACCAGCAGCTCCTGCCACTGGGTCTGTCCTCCCCGCCCCTCTCCCTTCTCCCTGCCCCCCTCCCGGGCTGAAACCTGATCTGGGGGAGGGGCCGGGTGGGACCAGGTGGCTGTGGGGTCTGCAGCCAGGGGGCGGGGGCAGGGGTGGAACCGGAGGGGGGGGGCTCTGCCAGTTCCTCGGAGGGAAGCACACTGGGGTCCCTGAGGCTCTGGCTGTCCCCCTGCCCCAGGGCAGCTCAGACGGCTTTGTCTGAGCGGCTCCTGCCTCCTGCCTCCGAGAGCCTGGCTCACAGATGTGGGCTGGCCGCCCTGCTTCGCAGCAGCACATTCTTTTGCTGAAACCGAGAAACGCAGAAAAATGGAAAAAATGTGCCTGCCGCATCCGTCCGCGGGCCGCACAGACGGGGCCAGGCTGTCCGTGCCCTCCCTCCGCCTCGCAGGGGTGGTCTCGTCCTTCCGCGTCCCCCTCTGACCCCCACCCCAGGGAGCCAGCGCTGGGACAGGGTGGCCGAGCGGCCGCCGGCGGGATGGGTTTGCGGAAGGAAGGGGACCCCGCGGCACTGCCTGGGGAGACGCCGTCAGAGGTCACCCTCTGGTACTCCCGCCCGCCTGCGGACCTGTCTGCTCGGTTTCCTGTGGTTCGGGCTCCGTCACCCCCCCCCCCCCCGTGTGGTTTCCCGGGACCCCCAGCCAGCCGCCTGCAGCGAGGTGTCTGCTCAGGACGAGCGCTCTCACACGGGGAGCACGGGCTGTGCGTGCGGAGGGAGGGCCGCGTCCCTGTGCTGGGGGAGCGGTGGCCCACGGGGCGTGGGGCGTGGCAGTGAGCCGTGCCCACGGAGGTGAAGCTGGGCTGGACTCAGTGCAGACCGGAGGGACCTGTGGTGTGGTCCGTGTTCCCGGGGGGTCAGGGAGGGGCCCGGGGGGACACTGCCACTGTGCGGTGGAGGCCTCAGAGCAGCAGCCACCCTTCCCTGCTGGGCCCAGTTCTGGGCGCAGGCCCGGGTGTGGGGCTGGGGACACGGGGCCTCCCCTCGGGGTCTGCTCTTCTTTCTAAAAGGTTTTATCTGGGTTACGTTTTTAGGGAGAGAGGAAGGGAGAGGGAGAGAGAAACATCACTGACGAGAGAGAATTGTGGATCGGCTGCCCCTAGGGATCAGCCTGCAACCCTGGCAGATGCCCTGCCGGGAATTGAACCTGCGCCCTCCCGGTTCATAGGCGATGCTCAGCCACGGAGCCGCCGGCCGGCCGGCGTGCCTGTCGCCGCCGGCTCCGTGGCAGACGGCCGCAGGGGGTCACGGGCAGCTGCGGGCGGAGGCGCCAGGTGTCCCTCCCCCAGGGTCCTCCCCGGCCGCACACCCTCAGGGGGGAAGCTCTGCCGTGTGCCGCCCGGGCCTGGGGCGCCGTCTCCACCGGCAGCCGGTGTCCGCTTCCGGGGAGGGAGGGTTTGCAGACGGAAGGCAGTCGGTGCGCCGGGCGGGCGGGGCACAGCTGCCGGCGTGGATGAGGCTCTGGTGGACGTGGTGGCGGCCGCCCACGGAGTGCTCCTGGGAGTGCTCCCCAGGGGAGGGGAGGACTCGGTTTCCCCAGCCCCAGGGGTGCCCCGCCCCTCAGCATCTCCAGACCCGGCTCTGGGTGCCCCCATTCTCAGCCCGGGTGCTCTGGGCGCCCTCAGCACCCCCAGCTCCACGTGGCCCATCCTCGCCCAGGCCCCTCGGCACCCGGCCCAGCGGCTCCAGAGCCGGAGGGAGGAGCATGGCCCGTGGAGCTGCAGGCGCCGGCCGGCCGAATCCCGGGTTGCCGGGGGGATGTCGGCCGCTCGGACCCGCTGTCCTTCTGCGGGTGGACGTTGCCGGGAGACCGCCCGCGAGGGAAGGGAATTCCCGGGCGCCTGCGGGTCAGCCTGAGCCAGGAAGGCGCCCTCCAGCCCGCGGGCGGGCGGGCGTTCTCTCCGGTGCCACAGCGGGGCCATGGGTGGAGGGTCGCTCCCGGGCAGGCACCCCCGCCCGTCGGGGGAGTGGGCTCCCGGAGGCTTCTAGAAGAGCTTTCCGGGGACTCACGGGAGACACGTGTGTGTGTGTGTGTGTGTGTGTGTGTGTGTGGTCCTGCGGGCTGGGGAAGAGGAGGCGGAGACGGGGAAGGTGGTGACCGCGGCCGCTCGGAGCCGTGAGGCCGCAGACGCGGGCGTGGGTTTTCTGCAGAAAAGCACGCGATGGCGCTGGCCGCCGCCTCGGCCTTCACCTCCTCGGCCTCCGCCGGCCCGCCCCCTCCCGGCTGTGAAGGGCCCCTTGTTCACAGACAATTAACAGAGGATTGCAGGAGGAGGGCCGGTTAGGAACTCCGCCAGGACTCCCGCACAAAGGCTGCTTTTAAAACCCCTCCCGGTGCTGGCAGCGAGGGGCTGCTTCTCCGAATGTTCCGTGTGAGCCTCGTGGTCCGGGGCCGCGGCGGCCAGAGCGGCAGCGAGGAGCAGGGAGCGGGGAGACACGGGTCGCCCTGATGGGGGGAGGGCAGGAGGAGGGCTCCGGGCTGAGCGACCGGAGGTCCCGGAGGCCGAGGCTGTGCCTGGGCCCTGGGGTCTGGGAATGTGGGGGAGTCAGGCCAGGATCCCGGATTGGAGCCCGGGCCCCTGAGGGCAGCGGGAGGGGGACGGGCTCTCCTGTGTGCCCAGGGCCGGTGCAGGGCGGGACACCATGGGGGACGGAGATGCTAGCAGATGGGGGAGGGGAGGAGGGAAGGAAGGGGGAGGGAGGGAGGGAGGGAGGGGAGGAGGGCGGGAGGGAGGGAGGGAAGGAGGGAGGAAAGCAGGGGAGGAGGGGGAGGAAGGAGGGAGGGGAGGAGGGCGGGAGGGAGGGAGGGAGGGGGGGGAGGGAGGGAGGAAAGGAGGGAGGAAAGCAGGGGAGGAGGGGGAGGAAGGAGGGAGGGGAGGAGGGCAAGAGAGAGGAAAGCAGGGGAGGATGGGGCGGGAGGAGGGGAAGGAGGGAAGGAGGGAGGGGAGGGGGAGAAAGATGCTCGCTCTCAGTTTATCGTGGATGTGCCTGTTGTTGTGGTCCCAGGCGGAGGCGGGCGGGTGCCGTCTGGACCTCGGTTAAGGACCCCGTTCTCACCGAAGGTCACGCAGGAGCTTGGCGGCCGTTGGTAGTCACAGTGACTGTCAGTGAGCGATGTTCAGGCCTCCGTAAGCACTCTGGCGGGAACACAGAACATGGGAATGGCGATGCTGTTTTTCATAAACAGCACATGCCCGCCTCTCCTTGTGAGCCTGACTGCTGTGCCCAGCTCCGGGTCTTGGGGTAAACCTGATGTCGGGGTCCCCCCCCCGGCTTCACTACAGGGCTGTTCCCTCCTCGTGTCCCGGCTCCTCTTCCTGTTCCCTCGCACGCGATGTAAACAGTGGACGGCAGGAGCCGCACCATCCGGCCCAGCCCGCTGCCGGACTGAAATAGCCTCTGAGGTCCTGACCCCACGCTGGCCCTGGTCAGGAAGTGCAGGAGGGGGAGCCGGGCTAAGAGAGGGCGCCCGGACCCCATCCGGGGTGCAGAGAGGGCGCCCGGTCCCCCGCCAGGCCACCCATTGGCGCCGGGAACCAGGAAGCGGCAGGTCAGAGTCCCAACACCGAGGACCCCGAGGCGGGCCCTGGTGCGGCAGGGAGGGCGGTGCGGCAGGACCGGCCGCTTTGCTGGCGATGAGGACCCTGAGGAAGTCTGTCCCGGGGCCGACCAGGAGGCTGTGGCACCGCCGGGCCCGGTGGGCAGTCTCCCTGAGGCTCACCCACAGAACCGGGGTCTGTCCGTCCGCCTCCGGCCCTGAGAGTGCCCAGCCCACGCTCCAATGTGGCTCCTCGGCAGCTCGCCCCCTGGGTGCCGCGCTGGGCTCTGCCTCGGCCGGGAGGGAGTCAGTGCCTGGCAGGGAGACAGTGCATCAAGGGCCCTCATCCTGCAGCCTCTTGGCTCCGAGCTCTGAGCCCGTTTTATCTCCCAGAACTGTGGGCTGCCACAGCCCGGCCGAGGCCTCCATTCCACACGCTCCCAAGTGGGGAAGTCTAGGCTGGAGACAGGCTGTGGTGTCGACGGCTCCGTGGCTTCTCTGTCCGTTCCTCACAGCCCAGTCTGGGGCAGAAAGCAGCCGCCCGTGGTCTCCGTGGCGTTGTGTGGGCCATGGTGGTCTGTCCCATTCGGGGAGCGTCGGACAGGCCCGGTCTTAAACCTCCCAGACCCGTGGCCTGGAGGCCTGTGCTGGCCCTGGCGTAGCCCCGGTGGAGGAGCTTCTCATCGGTGCATGTGGGAGGTTCTGTGGGACCGTGGGACGTGTGGGTCCGTGGACGTGTGGGTCCGTGGGACGTGTGGGGAGTGTGGGGCGTGTGGGTCCGTGGGACGTGTGGGTCCGTGGGACGTGTGGGTCGTGTGGGTCCGTGGACGTGTGGGTCCGTGGGACGTGTGGGGCGTGTGGGGCGTGTGGGGCGTGTGGGACCGTGGGACGTGTGGGACGTGTGGGACCGTGGGACGTGTGGGGCGTGTGGGACCGTGGGACGTGTGGGGAGTGTGGGGCGTGTGGGACGTGTGGGATCGTGTGGGACCGTGGGACGTGTGGGGCGTGTGGGACCGTGGGACGTGTGGGGCGTGTGGGGCGTGTGGGACGTGTGGGATCGTGTGGGACCGTGGGACGTGTGGGGCGTGTGGGGCATGTGGGTCCGTGGGACGTGTGGGTCCGTGGACGTGTGTGTCCGTGGGACGTGTGGGACGTGTGGGTCCGTGGGACGAGTGGGACCGTGGGACGTGTGGGCTGGGTGTCCCACAGCAGCTGTTGAAGGCTCTCAGCCTCTCCCCTGCATGATGGGAGTGATTGGGCAGCTGCACCCTGGGGCGAGGACACGCGGGCCACACTGCCCAGGCGGGAAGTGACCTGGTGGCCAGCGGGGGACGTGGCTGTGCCTCCCGGCTCCCAAGGAGACGGTCCCCACGTCAGCGCCGTGCGCCTCGGTGGCGGCCCACGCTCCGCGCGGCGGGCCTGCTCCTGCAGACACAGTCACGCCGCCTCCCTGTCCGCAGAGGCCCTCGCCCGCTCCGTGGGGATGTCCGAGAGCCTCGTGGGACCCGGAGCCGCCGGGCCGCCCTTCCCGCGGGCCCCCGCCGGCAGCCCCGGCGCCGGGGGGGACAGGTCAGCGGGCCGCCGGGCGGGCGGGGCCGGGCCCGCCCCTGAGTCCTGCTCCCCCTGCGTCTGCTCTGACCTTTGCCTCCTCAACAGCCCCCTGTCTGCCGAGCGCCTGTGGGTGGACACCGGCCCCAAGCCCACGCCCGCCCCGCCCGGGAGCAGCCGGCCCCCCCGAAGCCTGCTGGGCCCCAGCGAGCTCCCGGGCCCCGGCCCCGGGCGGCCCCACCTCCCGCCCGCCGAGCTCCCCCTCCGTGGCCACCCGCTGGCCGAGCCCCCGGGGGTGCTGGACCCCGCCAGCAGCCCCGCCTTCCTGGGCTCCGGCGCAGCCCCCGGGGGAGGCGGCCTGCCCCCTGCCCAGGCCCCGGGCGCCCTGCGGGCAGCTGCGGCCACTGCGGACAATGGCTTCCTGCCCCCCTTCCCCCCGGGGGGCCACGGCCACGGCCACGGCCCCCTGACCGGGCAGCCACCGCTCCCCGAGAAGAAGCGGGCCTCGGAGGGCGACCACTCCCTCGGCTCCATCTCCCCGACCTCCAGCGGCTTCTCCAGCCCCCACAGCGGGAGCACCATGAGCATCCCCTTCCCCAGCGTGCTCCCCGACTTCTCCAAGCCCCCCGAGGCGGCTCCTGCTCCGGGTACGTGGTCCCTCCGGGGCGGCCTCGGGGAGCGGGCCTCTGCCAGGCTGGCTCCTCCCGCCTCCCCCCCTCCTCCCCCCTCCGCCCCGCGGGTCCGGGAGCCCCCCCCTCCGCCTCCCCTCTTTCCCCCCTCCCCCCCTCGGCCCCGTGGGTCCCAGGAGCCCCCTCCCGCCTCCCCCCCTCCGCCCCTCGGGTTCGGGAGCCCCCTCCACCCTCCACCCCTCAGGTTTGGGAGCCCCCTCCCCCCTCCACCCCTCAGGTCCGGGAGCCCCCTCCACCCTCCGCCCCTCAGGTCCGGGAGCCCCCGCAGGGAGAGGCAGCGGGCCCACGGGTGCTCCCTTCCCTCGGAGCAGGGGCCTTGAGGAATGCTTTGGTTTCGAATTCAATGAGTTCATGTCAAGTTCATCTTTTTACATTCCAAGGTCTTGGTCCCGGGAAGCACAACTGGCCTTGCTTTGTACCATCTGTCTGTCTGTCCGTCTGTCTGCTTTTTAAATGAAGGAAAACTCCATTCTTTTTAAGAGGCGTTCAGATAGGGTTTTATTGGTTTCAGGGAGGAAGGGCGGGAAAGAGAGAGAGAGAAACATCAGTGATGAGAGGATCATGGATTAGCTGCCTCCTGCACACCCCTCACTGGGGATTGAACCCACAACCTGGGCCTGTGCCCTGGCCAGGAATCCAACCGTGACCTCCTGGTTCCTAGGTCAACACTCGGCCCCTGAGCCACGTGGGCCGGGCGAGCCCGTCTGTTGGGGGACGTGTTGGGTGCTCCCAGAGGCGGGCCTCCGTGTCTCCCCCGTGTTACACCAGGGGGGGCCCCTGCCGCGCTGGTGAGCACTGGTGACACGCGCCCCCAGCCACCATCTAATCCGTTCGCAGAAAACCCGGGAGAGAAGCAGGTGACGGTGAGCTTTGTGCAGGACACCTCCAAGTTCTGGTACAAGGCGGACATCTCCAGGGAGCAGGGTGCGTGCCGCTCGGTCAGCGTGGGGCGGGCCGGGCGGGGCCGGGCGGGAGGGAGGGCTGGCCTGGCGACTCCAGGGTGGATGGGAGAAGCTGGGTCCGGGGGGAGCTCACCGGTCCCAGGAGGCCACGTCCCAGGCGGGCCCAGCGGTGGCCGCTGCCTTTAGGGTCGGAGCCACGGGGACTTCAGGAAGGGGGGAGGGGCCGGCCTGCGGAGCCAGTGGCCGTGTGACGGGTTGTGCGCCCGGTGCCTCTGAGCTGAGCAGAGAGCTCGGAGGGAGCGGCCGCAGGAGCACGATGGGACACAGCTGTCCCGGCTGCTGGGCCTCCCGCCCGCTGCCCGAGGGCCTGTGAGGGCCTGGGACGGACACCGGCGTCACCGCGTCCCTGCCTGCCCCTCCCCGTCTGCTCTTTGCCCGAGAGGCCCCGGGGCTGGGATTTGTGTGACTTTATGCCTGAACCCCCTGGTTTTCTCCTCTCTCCATAAACACTAAACCCTGGGGAGGAAATCCTGGTTGTTACCAGAGGGACGTGGGCTGGGTCTGGCACGGCTCCCTGAGGGTGCTGTCCCGGCACGCCCCTCCTCCCTCAGAGGCCCGGCCAGGCCGCAGGGAGGTTTGGGGAGCAGTGAGGCAGGATGCCCACGTCGCCTGGGAAAGACGACCCGGCGTGCCAGCTCTGCTGTCGGCCATGTTGGCTGGTGGTCCTCGGAGGGCTTTGGGCCAGGCTGGCGCGCCATCCCCGGGCCTCCTGGAGTTTGTATCAACACTAGAGGCCCTCAGCCCAGCCTGCACCCTCTCCAGTCCGGCACCCCTCGGGGATGGCCAACTGCTGCTATCAGGCCTAAACCGGCAGTCTAACTTCCCTCTCACAGTCCTGGACCGTGGCTGCTAACCACTCACCTGCCTGCCTGCCTGCCTGGTCGCACCTAACTGCCCCCTCCCTGCCAGCCTGATCACCCCTAACTGCCCCCTTCCAACCTGATCACCCCTAACTGCCCCCCTGCCATCCTGATCACCCCTAACTGCCCCCTCCCTGCCAGCCTGATCACCCCTAACTGCCCCCTTCCAACCTGATCACCCCTAACTGCCCCTCTGCCATCCTGACCACCCCTAACTGCCCCCCCTGCTGGCCTGGTTGCCCCAGCAGCCTGCTGTTCAATCATTTGATTGTTCCCTCACTAAACCCCTTGCCAGCCTGGTTATAGGCAGCCATCTTGTGAGGGAGTGAGGGTCAATTTGCATGTTGCCTCTTTATTAGATAGGATTGAACACTGAGTAGCACTTCAGGGCGGGCCCCTATGTGGGTGGGTCTGTGACCCAGAGGGAGGGGCCTCCAGTAGGACCGCACGGGTCCCGCCGGCCCCGGGGGCAGGGGCGAACAGGGCCTGCGTGGGCGCCCGTGGCCCGCTGACCCCGCCCTCCCGCAGCCATCGCCATGCTGAGGGACAAGGAGCCCGGCTCCTTCGTCGTGCGGGACAGCCACTCCTTCCGCGGTGCCTACGGGCTGGCCATGAAGGTGGCCACGCCCCCGCCCTCCGTCCTGCAGCTGCACAAGAAAGGTGGGTGCCGGCCGCCGGGCGGTGTCTCAGGGTCTTCTGTCTGTCCGCCTGCGGCGCGCTCTGGTCACACGGTCCTCGTTCAAAAGGAGCTGCCATTTGTGTTTTATTTCTTACTGTTTGACGGGCGGCCCTCCCGGCTGCCCCAGGTCCCCGCCGGCCGGCCGGGGCTCCCTCCACCGTTCCCGTGTAAAAGGCACACTGTGCGCAGCGCTGCCCCAGGCACCCTCGTCCTCGTCCTTCCCTCTGACCCCGCCTCCTCCCTCTGACCGCTGTCCTCCCTCTGACCCCGCCTCCTCCCTCCACCGTTCCCCTGTAAAAGGCACACTGTGCGCAGCGCTGCCCCAGGCACCCTCGTCCTCGTCCTTCCCTCTGACCCCGCCTCCTCCCGCTGACCACTGTCTTCCCTCTGACCCCACCTCCTCCCTCTGACCACTGTCTTCCCTCTGACCCCACCTCCTCCCTCTGACCACTGTCTTCCCTCTGACCCCACCTCCTCCCGCTGACCCCTGTCCTCCCTCTGACCCCACCTCCTCCCTCCACCGTTCCCCTGTAAAAGGCACACTGTGCGCAGCGCTGCCCCAGGCACCCTCGTCCTCACGCACCGCCTCCTGCTCAGGGGACCGAGATGGCGCCTCCGTCCGCCTGCGTGTGGGTGTGCCAGAGCGGCCTCTCCAGCAGCTCCGCCCTCTGACCCCGCCTCCTCCTCCTGACCCCGCCTCCTCCCGCTGACCCCTGTCTTCCCTCTGACCCCGCCTCCTCCCTCTGGCCCCGCCTCCTCCTCCTGACCCCGCCTCCTCCCGCTGACCCCTGTCTTCCCTCTGACCCTGTCCTCCCTCTGACCCCACCTCCTCCTTCTGACCCCGCCTCCTCCTCCTGACCCCGCCTCCTCCCTCTGACCGTTGTCCTCCTTCTGACCCCGCCTCCTCCTTCTGACCGCTGTCCTCCTCTGACCGCTGTCCTCCCTCTGACCCCGCCTCCTCCCTCTGACCGTTGTCCTCCTTCTGACCCCGCCGCCTCCTTCTGACCCCGCCTCCTTCTGACCGCTGTCCTCCTCTGACCGCTGTCCTCTCTCTGACCACCACCCTCCCGTTCGGTCTCTAACTGTCTTCCTTTCTGTAACCTCCGCAGCCGGGGACTTGGCCAACGAGCTGGTCCGGCACTTCCTGGTCGAGTGCACCCCGAAGGGCGTGCGGCTCAAGGGCTGCTCCAATGAGCCCTACTTCGGTGAGTGAGGGCGGCCGGACGTGGCCCGAGGGGGCCTCCCCCCGAGGGAACCGGTGGGCACGCTCAGCAATGCAGAGCCGGGGCCGGAGCCGCGGGGCAGGGGGACGAGCCTCCCCCTGCGGGCGGCCGGCCCCTCAGACGGCGGTTTTCTTACCAAGGGGAGGGCGCGTGTCTGCCACGAATCGCCGCCCCACACCCACCCCTCCGTCTGCTGGCGTTTGCACAAAGTCCCTCCACGGGCGGCGAGGCGGCAGCGGGCTCTCCTGGGCGCTCGGGCTCGCTGACCGTGCCCTTGTCCGGCCGCCCACAGGGAGCCTGACGGCCCTGGTGTGCCAGCACTCCATCACGCCCCTGGCGCTGCCCTGCAAGCTGCTCATCCCCGACCGAGGTACGGGCGGGGCTGCTCTGCCGATCGGACACAGCGATGGGCACGAGCTCCTTCCGTCAGTGGTGCTGGGGTGGGTGGCTGCACAGAGGCTGGACAGCCTCGGGAGGAGCGGCCGGGCCGGACCACAGGCAGGGCTGTGTGTGCCTTCGCCGCGCAGCAAACAGGTCTCTGCTGGGCCGCAGGACGCCCGTCCTCGCTGGAAGTGCCGTGGGTGGAGGTGGAGTCACTGCTGTGGACACTCTGAGACCAGGGTCAGGAAGCCCCGGTGGCCGGTCCCCGCTCTCCTCCGCGGGTGGCGGGCTCGGCCGGGCGGCTTTGCCGGGAGGAACTCCGACCGCCCAGCAGGCCGCGTCCGGGCGCTCGGCCAGGTCTCTCCTCGGGAGCCGGCTCAGCGCCTCGGCGTCATGGTTCTCCTTCCCGCAGACCCGCTGGAGGAGGTGACGGACAGCCCGGCCCAGACGGCGGCCAGCTCCGCGGCCGAGCTGCTGAAGCAGGGCGCAGGTGGGTCCCCCCGGGGGGCAGCGGCAGGATGTGGGGTCTCCTCTGGTGTCTGGGTCTCCTCTCCTCTGAATGCCAACAGTTCCTTCCACGTGGCCCGTGGCCGGAAATGTGCCTGGGCTCTGCCGTGGCCCAGTTTAGGGATCAGTGCCACGCCCCAGGCTCAGTTCCGTGGGGTTCGTGCCACGTCTGTGCTGAGTTTGGGGGAAACGTCATGAGACAGGATGGGGGACCTGCCCTCCTGGACTCGTTTCCCTCGTGTCCCCCTACAACGCCGTGTGGCCGATGTCACCGCGCCGGCTGCCTCGTGGGCACGGTGTCCTCGGTCCCCGCAGAGGTGAGACCTCCAGGGACCCCGATGCGGGGCTCGTCTGACCCCGTGAATGTGCCCCCTCGGCGCCACCCGCTGACACGGCTCTGTAAGGCTCCGACCAGGGCCAGGCTGCCGCGCGAGCTCCGGGCGCTCCCAAACCGCCGGGCGCTCCCAAACCGCCGTCCATGCATCTGCCCCACACGCTGCCCCCGGCGCCGCCTCACTCGGAGCTCCAGCCGGGCCGTGATGGTGCCTGCCCCCCCCCCCCCCCCACACACACACACACACCCCGAGGAGGTTCCTTCACTCCGGGTGGTCAGCCCTGTCCAGCCCCCGGACGCCGGGCACACACAGCCAGTGTGTCTTCTCCAGTGGCCTGGGGCGCGCGTGTCCGGCCTGGGGCACGTGTGTCTGTCCTGGGGCGCGTGTGTCTGTCCTGGGGCACGTGTGTCCGGCCCGGGGCACGTGTGTCCGGCCCGGGACCCGTGTGTCCGGCCTGGGGCGCGTGTGTCCGGCCTGGGACCCGTGTGTCCGGCCTGGGGCGCGTGTGTCCGGCCTGGGACCCGTGTGTCCGTCCTGGGGCGCGTGTGTCCGGCCTGGGACCCGTGTGTCCGGCCTGGGGCGCGTGTGTCCGGCCTGGGACCCGTGTGTCCGGCCTGGGACCCGTGTGTCTGTCCCGGGGCGCGTGTGTCCGGCCTGGGGCGCGTGTGTCCGGCCTGGGGCGCGTGTGTCTGGCCTGGGACCCGTGTGTCTGGCCTGGGACCCGTGTGTCTGTCCCGGGGCGCGTGTGTCCGGCCTGGGGCGCGTGTGTCTGGCCTGGGGCGCGTGTGTCTGTCCTGGGGCGCGTGTGTGTGTCCTGGGGCGCGTGTGTCCGGCCTGGGACCCGTGTGTCCGGCCTGGGGCGCGTGTGTCCGGCCTGGGGCGCGTGTGTCTGTCCTGGGGCGCGTGTGTCTGTCCTGGGGCGCGTGTGTGTGTCCTGGGGCGCGTGTGTCCGGCCTGGGACCCGTGTGTCCGGCCTGGGGCGCGTGTGTCTGGCCCGGGGCACGTATGTCTTCTCCATCGGCCTGGGGCGCATGTGTCCGGCCTGGGGCCCGTGTGTCTGGCCTGGGGCGCGTGTGTCTGGCCTGGGGCGCGTGTGTCTGGCCTGGGGCGCGTGTGTCCGGCCTGGGGCGCGTGTGTCTGCGTCACTCGCTCCCTGCGCCTCGGGCAGGGTGTCAGCCTCCGGGGCACCCGGCAGGGCCAGCGGTCGAGCAGTCCCTGAGCCCAGGGCCGGGCGACGCCATGTCCGCACTGACCCCGCCCGCCCGCCCACAGCCTGCAACGTGTGGTACCTGAGCTCCACGGAGCTGGAGTCGCTCACGGGCCCGCAGGCCGTGCAGAAGGCCCTGAGCACCGCGCTGGCCCAGCAGCCGCCGCCCCTGTCCACCGTCGTGCACTTCAAGGTGTCGGCCCAGGGCATCACGCTGACGGACAACCAGCGGAAGTGAGAGCCGCGGGCGGGCCGGCGGGTGGGGGTGGGCGGGCTCTGCTCACACGTGGGCGCGTCCCTCGGCCTCCCTGGGCGTCCTGGGGCGTCCCAGGGGAGCGACCCGGCCCCCTCCCCGTCCTCCCGGAGGCTGTGCGGGTGCAGAAGGCTGGAGTGAAACCGAGGCCGGGACGGCCCAGACGGGGCCGAGGGGTCGCTGCGGTTCTCCGGAGCCTGCAGGCCGGCGCTCCGGGCCCAGCCCAGCGTGCACAGCCCGAGCACTTACCATGTGCCCGTGCACCGCCCTCGGGGACGGCCCTTCTCCGTGCCCCCAGCCCCGCCGCCCCTCAGCCCCGGACCCATGGCCGGGCTCAGCCATGTCCGGCCGGCGCTCCCTCCCTCACCGCCTCCCCCCCTGCAGGCTCTTCTTCCGGAGGCACTACCCGGTGAGCAGCGTCATCTTCTGTGCGCTGGACCCGCAGGACAGGAAGTAAGACCGGCGCCCCCGTGCGAGGCCCCGCCCAGCCGCACAGACCCTGACGCTCTCCTCTCCCGCAGGTGGATCGCGGACGGCCAGGAGTGCCGGTGAGCCCCCGCTCCCCTCGGAGGCCTCCGGGGTCCCCGGGTCGACTCCGGCAGCAGCTGGCCGCTCTCTGGCCGGAAACGTGCAAACCATGGGTGGCCTGGTGCCTGGGACGGCTGGACACACGAACCCCTCCCCCTGTGAGAGGGAGAAGGGCCGGGACAGGGAGGCGGAGCCTCCCCCATCCCGCCCTGAGGGGCGTGGGGTGCCCCGCCCGGGCCCGGGAGGGGCCGGCGAGGGTCACGTGTGGGGCGAGGACTCGCCTTGTGCTGCCCGCGGGCCGTGCTGCCTGCGATGACGCCGAGGGCCGGGCTCAGCTCAGGACAGCGGCCGGACTCGGGCGGGCCCGGGCGGCCCTGACCTGCTCCTCCCTCGGGCGTCACCGGGGGCAGCGGCCTCCCGCTGGGGTCCCGGGCGCGGCCGCCTGAGCCCCCTCTCCCTGCAGAGTCTTCGGGCTTGTCGCCCGGAAGCAAGGCAGCGCCACGGACAACGTGTGCCACCTGTTCGCCGAGCACGACCCTGAGCAGCCCGCCAGCGCCATCGTCAACTTCGTGTCCAAGGTCATGATCGGCTCCCCGCGGAGGATCTGAGCCCGCACGCCGCCCCGCGGCCCCACTCCCGTCCTCAGCCCCGAGACCGCCCCGCCCTTCCCGAGAGGACCGCCCCGCGGCCCAGCAGCTGCTGGGCGGAGTGGGCTCCAGGGCTCTGCCAGCCCCGCGGGGCCGGTGAGGAGGGCAGGCTCCCGTGGGGTCCGTGGGAGGGAGCCGCCGGGAGCGCCCCCGCCGTGGCCGAGGGCTCCAGAGGGGCGTGCCCGTCTGCACGTGGTCTCGCTCAGGAGAAGCTGGTGGCCCTGCAGGTCCTCCCTGCGGCATCCCACCTCCTCCCTCCAAGCTCGGCCCCAGAACCAGCCGGCCGCTCGGCGAGGGGCTGGGCCGCGAGGGGGTGGCCCCCAGCCCCCACCAAAGCACCGAGCAAAGTGCCTCCTTCTGTGCCAAACCCGCCGGGGCCGGGCCGGGCGGCCGCCTCCTCACGCCCGGGGCCGGGCCGGGCGGCCGCCTCCTCCCTGCCCGAGGGCCGGTCCCCGGAGCCGTCCGCAGTCCCTGCGGGAATCGGAGGGCAGACTGCGGCCGCCCGCCCTCCCGGACGAAGAGGGACAGGCCTGTGGGGAAGCCGGAGCCCACAGGCGTCACGGGCCTGAGCCTTGCTCGCAGCCCCTCCCGACGCCGGAGAGGCCGGGCACCGTGGATCAGCCCGGCAGCAGCGTGCCTCCCGTGCACCGGCGCCCGGGGCCCAGGAGCCGGTCTGGGCGGTACGACAGGCCCTCGGGGAGCCCGCCGCCCGCCGGCTCAGCCTGGGGAGGACCTGCCCGGCTCCTGGTCCCTCTGGCACCAGCGGGCACAGGGCGCTGTCCTGGGGCTCCAGGCGTGTGCCCCTCAAGTGTCCCGGCCGGGTCCCCTTAACCCCCACTAACCAGTCACTGCGCCCCTCAGTGTTAACCTGTAACCCTCAGGCCCGAGGGGCCTGTCTGTGGCCTCGGCCTCGAACCCTTGCGTGTCTGCCTTCGCGCCGTGGGTGTCGGTGCCTTCCTCGCATTATAAAGTGTATCCAGCGCGAGTGAGGCCCACGCGCACGTGCATAGCAGAGCTCTGCCTGCGTATCTATCAGAGGATAATAAACATTAACTTTGTAACCGGCGGCGGCTGCTTCCTGAGGCCGGGGTGGGTGTTTGCGGGCGTGAGGGGCGGGCTGTGTGTGGGTTTCCTGGGAGCGGAGTGCAGGCATCCTGCCGGACTCGGGTATGAACTCCGTCCTCAGGATACATTGTTGAAATTCTTCCGGAGACTTTGAACACGTGCACGCGGGTTTTAAGAATGTATTCCATGCCCGGCAGGAATTAAAGTGGTTGAGCATCAGCTTATGAGCCAGGAGGTCAGGGTTCAGGTCCTGGTCAGGCACAGGCCCAGGGTGGGCTGGAACCCGTGTGGGGCCGGCGGGAGGCAGCTGGTGGCGGACTCATCACTGGCGATGCCGCCCTGTCCCTCCCTCTGACGGTGTGGCTGTGGCTGTGGCTGTGGATGAACTTAGTCCCGGTGGCCTGCGGGGCAGGGTGGCAGGTGTGGCTCCTGGGCGCTGACTAAGGCAGGTCGGTGCACCCGCCTTCCAAAGGGGTGACGGGTGGCCCAGCCCCTCCCGAGTGCGGAGACCAGGCCCCGCTGCGCCGGCCGCCCCGGAGCCGGAAGCCGGGGTGCGGGCGGGTCCGGTGAGTGCGGTCCGGTCCGCGGTGCCGCCCGGGCGCGCCCCCCCCCGGAGGGACCGGGACAGCGGCCTGGGCGCCAGGAAGAGCCGCTCCTTCAGCTGCCCCTCGTGGCTGTCACTGCGGACCCCCTCCCGCGGCCCGGGCTCCCCCGGGGACCGATCCCTTCAGCCCGGGCCGCCCCGGGCCGCGCCAGGCGGGGGCGGAGGGCCGATGCGCAGTCCGTCCGCCGGAGCGCGGGCCGCCCCGCCCCCTGGTGGCCGCCGGGCGCACTGCCGCGCGGGGCGGAGATGCGGAGCCCGCGGTCCGGCTCCGGGTCCGGCTCCGGGTCCGATCCGCGCCGCCCCCGGGGCGGGAGGGGCGGGTTCCCGTCCCCGCGGCCCCCGTGTGGCCGCCGCCGCCGCGGAGACGAAAGGAAAACCCGAAACGGCGGCGAAATGCGCTGCGCCCCGCAGGCCGGGCTCCCCTTTCCCTGAACTTTCAGGATCCGCTCGGCGCCGAACCCGAACCCTCCCTCTGGGGCGGGGCGCGGGGGGCCGGGGCCGGGGGGCGGGGGGCGCGGGGGGCGGGGGGGGGGCCGGGGGGCGGGGGGGGGGGCCGGGGGGGGGGGGCCGGGGCGCGCGGGGCCGGGGGGCGGGGCGCGGGGGGCCGGGGGGGCCGGGGGGGCCGGGGGGCCGGGGGGCCTGGGGACGGGGCGCGGGGGGCCGGGGGGCCGGGGGGCCGGGGGGGCCGGGGGGGGGCGGGGGGGCCGGGGGGGGGGCCGGGGGCCAGGGGGCCTGGGGGCGCGGGGGGCCGGGGCGCGGGGGCCCTCCCTGCCGGCCCGGGGCCCAGTGGAGGCCGCGCTGGGCGGACGACGCGGCCTGAGACCGGGCCCCGGGGCGGGGGGCGCCCCAGGCTTTGGCCCCCGCCCCGGCCCCGGAGCCCCGGTGTCCGCCCCCCCCCCCCCCGCAGTCCGGACCCGCTCCTGGGGGGCCTTGCTGTGACGTCACATGGGCATCCCGGATCCTCTCCTGGGGGACCTAGCTGTGACATCACGTGCAGTGGCGTCAGCACCGCCGAGCGGCCGGTCCTGTTTGTCCCATTTTTGGCTGACCTCTGACCCTGAAGACAGCTTTTCCAGGAAATCAGGAAAAACACTGCGTTCCTGTTTTTAAATTGTGGCCTTGTCTCTGGGCGTTGGAAGCCCTTGAAGCAGGAACGCGGTGGCCTCCGGCCCACAGCGCCCCCGGCTGAGTGAACACGGGGCTGGATCCCCCCTCCTGAGTCCCCCCTCCTGGGTCCCCTCCTGGATCCTCCCTCCTGAGTCCCCCCTCCTGGGTCCTCCCTCCTGGGTCCTCCCTCCTGGATCCCCTCCTGGGTCCTCCTCCTGGGTCCCCCTCCTGGATCCCCTCCTGGGTCCTCCCTCCTGGATCCTCCCTCCTGGGTCCTCCCTCCTGGATCCCCTCCTGGGTCCTCCCTCCTGGATCCCCTCCTGGATCCTCCCTCCTGGATCCCCTCCTGGGTCCTCCCTCCTGGGTCCTCCCTCCTGGATCCTCCCTCCTGGGTCCTCCCTCCTGGATCCCCTCCTGGGTCCTCCCTCCTGGATCCCCTCCTGGATCCTCCCTCCTGGGTCCTCCCTCCTGGGTCCCCCTCCTGGGTCCCCCTCCTGGATCCCCTTCTGGGTCCCCCTCCTGGGTCCCTCAAAGAAGCTGCACCCCGGAGCCTCCGGTCATTCCCCTGAGGGTGAGACAGGGCCCTGCCTGTCACATCCTGGGGGGGGGGGGGTCCCCCAGGGCTGCGCACTCGGCCCCCAGCCATGGGCTTGGCCTCTCCTGTTTGCTCAGCTTCCTGCGGGGGGAATGCCGAGTGCACAGCTCCGCCGGGCTGGGGGGGCTGGGACAGGGGGGACAGAGGGGGACAGAGGGGGAGGGGGACAGGGGGGACAGAGGGGGAC